TTCATTCACCCCGAAGTCTCCCTGAAACGTACAAAGTCAAAAAACAGCTCGGAAAGAGCCGAAATAGAAATCCCCTTTTGAGATGGCTTCTTTCGGAGGGCGCGCGGGGGAGATAATCCAGTTGGTTGTAGGTTTCAAAAAGTCCAGTTCCCTTTCGAGTCCTTGTCCACATAATCTCATTGTTGTCTATTGTCTGTGCTACCTGATGGAAAATCTGACTGATGAGTCACAAATCTCTCTTTTTTTTATATATTCGTCACAAAATTTTTCCTTATTATATTTTTTTAATATCCAAGTATCCAAGGAAGTAAGAACTTGCTTTTCCGTCTGTCCTTTTCGAATGTTTTCCGCTCCTTCTGGGTGCGTCTGGTTCTTTTAGAAAAACTGTCAACCTGGCTGAAAATGGACTTGATGTGTCGGAAAAAGCAGCGGATTAGAAAAGTTTTGGACAAGTATAATAAGTGGGGATTAGTCTAGTGACCAAAAATTGTTCGCGGTTCGAAACAAAACATTCTCAGAGATCCCCTCATTTTTTTGAACCCTAGAAATGTGTTCTGATTTCTAGCATTTTCCGACCGATGACATAGCTTGAGCCAGAATCTCATCTCACTAATTTGCCCCTTATTCACATTTCCTGAACCCCGCCCTTCTTCCTTCCTCCATTCATTGAAAGTAACGTCGAAACGAAACGCAACCCACTCAGATCAGTCGCTTTTTCCTGACAAAGTCACATACTCATCTTTTTGAAAATCAATATTGCCCTGTCAAAAACTTTCCACACTTTTCAAGACACTTTATCTAAAATGAAATTGAGCGAAAATCCGTTCTTAAAGCTAAACCTTCTAAACCTTCTAAATTCTCTCAAAAACTTCTTGCGAGCACCGAAAACCAAAGAAAAACTTCATTTTCCACATGTTTTGCAATTCCTTTTCCGCTTTCATCTTCATCTCGCAACATTTCTCACAACCTTTTTCGCCTGATCTTTTCCATAAACATACCTTTCCTGCAAGAATTTGGTCCAGATCAGATCAGCCAACATAAGACACATTTCTGAGTTCAAGATGGCAATTATGTGCAAGTACACTTCTCAAATCTTCGGGAGCGAAGCAAAGTGCCCTATAAATTCGAATGACAAATGGTGGCGTTTTAGGTGTTTGAATGGATGTTTTCTATTTTGGGGTTTTGTACCCGCCTCGACCGCTTTCCGCTTTCCTGATACTAATCAGCACTTGAACAGAACTGTCTAAATGAAATTCGAAACTGGAGAGCGTGGGAACACGGCGTAAAAGCAGAAGACCCCCGCAATGACTTGCAACATCTTAATCCGGCTAAACGACGTCATCCGTCGACACACTAACACTCGCACACACCTTTTACTCGCATCAATCGCGAAACCCCTTCCTTTTCACTAATCTAATCCCGAAATCGTCATAATTTATTCGATAAACTCGGCCGCCTCTCCGGTCCCCGCCCGCCCAGAGTCATTCAATCAGTGCGGACTTGCCGACTGACCACTTGGCTCGTTTCGATTTTATTTCCCTTTCCTTATGACTTATAAGTGACACCGAATTTCCCGTTCGGATGTGGTGAAGCGTAAGAAGCATCACGAATTTCTAGGAAAACTGACTCTTGTTTGTGGTTTCTCCACTATTTTTGTTCTCTTCTTCCCATTTTCTTCGTCTTCGTGTCCCGAAACCTGACACCAAGCGAGCGCCTTTTGAAAGTTGGTGAACTTGAATTCCGAATTCGAAATGCCGAATGGCGAATTTCAAATGGCAAGTGCCAAACTCAGAATACAAAATTTGGCCGGTCTTTGTTCCTTTCAAAATTTACATACCATTTGCGACAGGTCACCGCCAAAAAAAAGTTGACCGTAAATATATGAATATGTGAGTCGCCCTCGCGAAATTAATCCGCACTTAATCTATAATATAATAATAAACCGAGACCAGGGACATAATGCTCTTTCTTCTTCTTTTTTCTTGATTCCTAGGCCTAGGAACATGTATATTGTGCGTTTCTCTTGCCCCCTCGTCATCGAGACGAAAACCAAATATTATTCATTTCTCTTTTCCCCTCCTCGCCAGTGTTTAGTTTGATCTGAGCAAGATTGGAAACGAAAATGACAATTTCAATTTCGATTCTTGAACCTGTGCCGCCGTCGGAAACACAACTAAGAATAGTCACGGCGAGGAGCTCACTAGGTTAAATTATTTTTGCATTCGCTCGAACGCAGATAGCAATCCCAACTCTCCAGAGATTCTGTTTTGCGACCGACGGCGGCGGCGGGAAGGAGGTACGGAGTAAGACCTTCAAATTGTTTCTTCCTTTTTTTGATTACCCTCCGCCTCTCCTTTTGTTTCCCACACTGAGCGCCGGGCAAAAAAAACGCCGTCATTGTCCATCTTTGACGTGGGCTCAAAAATCGCTGGTACTTGTAAGATATCACGTCGTTCTCTGTCTCACTTGCGGGTTAATCTCATGCCGATTCTCGATTCCCACCCGATTTCAGTACAAATACGCATTCATTACTCACTGACTAGACAATGATATTCTTTTTGCTCTGCAAGTGAAGTATGTCCATCCGTGATGTCTGATATTCGCTTCAATGCACCGAATTCGATTAATTTTCCTGGCCTTTCTGATGAAATTAATTCAATTTCGACACCTATTCCTTGAATATTGCACACAACTGATAAAATTATTGGGCCCTCCATTCATCAGAAACACGTCGCGTTCCGCATAAATGATTCATGAAATTGAACTCAATTCGCACAACCAATTTGAGCGAATTTTGAGTGGGAGAAAAAGAAGAAGAAGAAGAAGAAGAAGATAAAATTGAAATGAAAACTGAAATGTATATATAAACTTTCCGCTTCCGAGTATTCATACTTCCTAGTATTTTGATCTTCCAGTTATGACTGAATTCCGTCTTTTTTCGGGAAAGTCCTTCAAGAACCAGACTCGTTGCGGACTGGGTCCGGGTTTTAGTACCAAATTTTCAACACATGGATTCTGAGTCGATCCGATTTTTGAGAACTCTTTCAAGAACAGTGTGAAGCTTTAAAATGTGTGGTGACAAACAGAAAGAACGATTAGAAAACGGTCTAATCCAAACAAAATGTTTGTTTTCGAATCTTTTCGTACTCACTCTCTCACTACTCACTTTCCTTCGTTTAGTCAGCTGAAACTGTAGTCTGGTCTTTGACCCCCTGGATTTTCAACGTCAAAAAATCCAGGCCTAAAGTGTTTTTTGTTTAGAATCTGGGGGATAATCGGATAACTAAGAATCCTCTCACCACCACCCCCCCCTTTCCTTCCTCTCTTCTTCTTTATTTATCAATTCTCTGAAGGGTACGTGGTTTTTCAAGTATTTTGTTATTCTATTCTATTCGCAAATTCAATACCTAAGTACATATTGGTACCTACCCACTAATTGAGTCGTGCATTTTCTTGGTATTGGTCGATATTGAGTGCCACAAAATCGGCCCTGTTTGGAACACGCACCAAAAATGAACGCGATCAATGCAACGTAGTCAAATGGTCAACAAAAAAAAGGAAATCAATCGATTCAGTTCGATTCGCATTCAATTCATTAGGAAAGTCAGTATGACTCTCTCGGATACATTATTCATCGTGTTTTTTATCTGTCGAACCTTTTAATAATTGCAGTTCCGCACAAATTACCTTTGTTCCTTTTCCTGCTGCTTTTCCTAATGTTTTTTGAACATCTAAAGGCTTCTGTGTGTGTGGAAAATAAGAAATAAGCTGAATCACCGGGAGAAAAGAGGAACACTGTTTTCTTATTCTTATGAAAGTAAGCAAGCATTGCACCTGTTTACCGCCCCAGGAAATATTCGTTAGATTATTTATATTTCGTCTGATTTGAATATGAGTGAGTCATCCAAGACCAAGGATTCAAAAATTGTGTGTGTTAAGGGTGTCTGGACCTAAATGATGCGATATCTCACGTATTTACCCCCGGGAGCAATGCCGCCTACTAGTATCTCGGTTATAGTTACGAATAACAAACAGAAGTTGAGATGCGAAGGCTGAAAAACAGAAAACACGGAATCAGAATCAGAATGCAGTAGTGAATTTTTCATGAACGTCTTTCTTCCGGTAGTGTTTTTACACGTTTTATATGCCAATCTAACTGAAGCCACGAGACAGTCTTGTTTGAGCTTTGAGCTGACAATTAGTCAGCGCTTCCGACGGACCCTGGCACCGCCAGTAATTTAAAAGACATCACGAAGAGCTCACATGGGTCGGCTGTGGATGAATCAAACTTCTCCCTTTTCTTCTCCCTTTTCTTCATCTACTTTTTCTATTTTTGCCCTGCAGCCCCTGGTAGACGTGTCCTTGCGGATTCCAGTAACTGGAATTTTAAGTACGACACTAATTGCGTCGTAGGTTTAGCAAGGTTTCCAGAATAATTGCATTTTGCGCGCTGTAAACAAAACTATAACACCAGCACCTTTTCTGAGTTTAAGATGCTCTTGAAATATGATGCTTTCGAAAGTGCACAACATCGTCAGAGCTCGAACAGTCCACGGATACCCAAAAACGTAGCTTTTTTTAATTCCTTAAATTCTTAGTACAACGATGTCACCTGAAACTCTCGAGTCAACATCTTACTCTTCCCCTATTAGAGCTAATCTCCAGTACCCCACTGTTACTAATTATTTCACATTTGTTTTCCACTTTTCTATTTTTCTTTCTTTCAACAAGAATAGAAAAAAACGGAAGCGGAAAACTCTGTCCGTCAGTCCGTTGTTCCTCTTTCTTCCTCCTTTCTTCTTGAATCCTTAAATCAATTACCCACCAATAGGCCCCACCTTTTTTCCCGTCCGTTTGGTTTGCAGACAGCCAAGGTACCCGTTTAGAGAAAGAGAAACAAACGTTGTGTTGGAACAGAGCACAGATCTAGTTCATATAACTTTTTTCTGATGACTCTTCTGCTGAAAAGTTTACTTTAATTGATTTTGTTTTGTTTCAGAATGCCAAACACCACGGCATGTTTGAACCTCAATTCCGAACTATGGCTTTTTCGAGAAGATATGTCATCGAGAGTGAGTTTTTCTAACAAAAAAATATAATTCGAAAAACTGTTCAATTTCAGTGGTACATAATGGTAATTTTCGCGTTTCTTTATCTTCTCATCATCGCCGCGGGTATCATCGGAAACACTTGTGTTATTCTGGCAATCACTAGAAACAAGTGAGTACCAACTACCGTAACCCGATTTCGAAATTTAAAATTCAGATCACTTCAAACGGTGCCAAATCTCTTCATCCTCTCGTTATCCTGCTCGGATATCGTCGTGTGTTGCACTTCAGCAACAATAACTCCGATAACCGCGTTTAAAAAGGAATGGATTTTCGGAGAGGCGTTGTGTCGGGTCGCCCCTTTCATTGCGGTACGTGAGAATGTTTTACTTCCCTGTACAAATACCAGGCACATCCCCCTTTTCCGGACACATACATCATAATACGAACTTCCTGAGGAAATGAAATAAAACGTTATTTTTAAGGGAATCAGCCTCTGCTTCTCGACTTTCACGTTGACGGCTATCTCGATTGACAGATACATTCTAATCCGATTCCCGATGCGAAAACCGATTTCGCATTACCAGGCGTGCGGTGTCATTGCGGTAACAAGATGAACTTTTGGACTTTTTCAAAAAACCCCGCATTTTTCAGTTGATCTGCGCGTTCGCCGCCACCATCACATCTCCGATCATGTTCAAACAGAGGCTCGGAGAATTTGAGAACTTTTGTGGGCTGTACTGCACGGAGAACTGGGGAGCGAATGAGAGTCAACGGAAGATCTACGGAGCCGCGCTGATGTTTCTTCAACTCGTCATTCCACTCACCATCATCATCATCTCCTACACTGCGATTTCACTCAAAATCGGACAAAGTATGATTTTGAAGGGAGCGAAAAAACAGAAAACGGACAACTGGGAGATGGAGTTGAGTGATCAGCAAAGGATTGCGGTGAAGAGAAGACAGAGAACAAATCGGATGCTCATCGGGATGGTGGTTGCGTTCGCCTGCAGTTGGATTTGGTCGGTCTCCTTTAACATTCTAAGAGATTATGACTACCTGCCGGACCTTATCAAAAACCAAGAGTATATCTTTGGTATTGCAACACATTGCATTGCGATGACATCAACGGTATCATAATCACACTCGTACTTGGCTAGTTACTCTTATATTTTCAGGTCTGGAACCCTCTTCTCTACGCAGTTCTCAACCTCCAACTTCGCGCGGCTTTCATCGATTTAATGCCGCAATGGCTCCGTCGGCGCCTCAACCTGGAAGGCGACAATAGTTCGCCACTACTCAACCATCCAACAATGACGATCACGAATAAGTACGGATCCACGGCGACACAGGTAAACGCCCGATCGGCAACATTGTGCACGTGTCACGCCACACCACCACCCGCAAACTGTTACTGTTCCTGTCTCCAATACTTCTTTTAAAACAATGCAGGCTCTTTTTATTTGCACTTGTGGTGATTTTTTCCGACCTCTCAAACTCTTTTTGTACTTTCTTTACACCGAGAGAGCGAGAGCCGCATGAAACCTGATTCTGCTGCCAGTTTTTTACGTGTAATAGAATTTGAACCAGTTTTGTGAGCTCGTTGTAACCGAAAATTGCGGCAGATTCTAGGTTTGAACAAAAATTAATTGATTTCGAGTTGTGAGCTTTGAGAGTCCTGTAGATTTGAACAGTTGAACACAGAGAAATGAGATGAGAAAGTGGCTGAACTTCGACGCATGAACACGCTGGCACACTGATGAACATCACGGAAGAGTTGCCCCAAAAAATGATGATGATGATGATGATGATGATGATGATGATGGGTGTGCATGATGTTTGTTGACCGGGTTTTACCTGAAAACTTTTTTCCAAAACTTTTGCAATTCTTATTGATCGTGGTGGTAGTCGTTCACTTAGAGGTGATTATGCACCGTTTTTGCGGCTTCTCAACGCTTTTCTGATACTTCTCGCTCCTCAAACTTTTGTCAGTTTTGTGATAGATTTTTGTGATACATGATTCATAGAAGCTTCAAAATATGTGTAGAAGAAATCGCTACCCTGGTGAATGATTCCATCGCCATTCGTAACCCTGAAGATTTTGATTCCCGATTGATGTACCTGACCGGACTAAGCACGGAAGTGAAATATTCTCCGGCCATCTAGATGGTCTCTCTATCTTTTCCCTCCCTATCGCCTAGACAATGCTAGTCAATGTAGTGATTATATCCAAACTGTGGATCGATTCATCTGGAATGATTGAAACAATGATTTTTTGTACAGAATTTGAAGAAAAACGTGTATTTTTTTTGAGGCGGAATCCACCAGTTTGTTGGCATAGATGCAAAAGTTCTACGAGGTAATTAGATCTCAGGAATCGAAATCTTGAAGGGTTTTAGGAAAATAAAACAAGAAATGGGTAAGAGTACCGAACTGAGAAGAAAGAGTACAATCAAAAGAAATTGCTAGTTTTCTGCATCTACCGTAACCATTTTTCCTGTAATGCCTTCGTACTTTTTGATTTTTCCTTTTCTTCCGACCTATCATCCACCCTTTCCACATTTTCCCATTCACATAACCTCTCAACTCTTTCTCTCAGTTTCAGTATTCTTCAACCCATAACTCATTCTCATTTTTTTGTTTATTCTGCATTTTTAGGCAATCAAAGCCACATACGTTAATACCAACAACGGACAACCATACGTGTCAACAAGTTTAGTGGGTAAAGTTCAACCGGAACCACCTAGTTTTTCATTGTAAGCTGCTCAAATTCCAGTCTGATCCTTCATAATAAATCGTTTTCAGTAATGGATCAACTCGCAAAAAGTCGTCGGTGATGCGCATACTAGTTCAAAAAAAGAGGGGAGAAGAGGAGGAGCAACTAATCACAAAGGAATCACCGTCGCCGCCCGAAATTCAAATGGATACATTGTGCGCGGCGCCGATAATCCCCAGACGCAAGAGTGCCCAGCCGAGGGCCACAAATGAGAAAGTTGTGCTGCCGAGAAAGACCTCCTTCTAGAACACACCCAACTAAGCCACCTTGTTTGTTATTTGTCTGTGAAATATCGAAAGAATCCTTATGCTTTTTTCTTGCCCAAATACGGATTTTTGCGGAAAGAACTGCTTTGAACTTCAAATATAACAGTATCTGATAAGATCTTGACAATGAAATTTTTCCGCAAAAATCGGTCTGAATACTAGATGAATAGATACCCCGGTTTTAATTTCCGCTTCCGCATATCTGTTTCCAATCTATCTTGTAGTTCTCTCTAGTGATTTTACCTACATCATCAGTTCTTGGTGTCCCTCCTTCCACCGGTAGACAACAACAATAGCCTATTAACCGTAAATGGCCTCAATCTCAAACATCAACGACTACTATGCACTACACGTTCGTTTTCACCCCCGTTTTTTCTCACCCAAACAGCCGTTTTCCAACTGGTTTTATGTATTTATTACCGATGACCCCTCCGAACTTCGTTTGTCTCTCTCTCCCTCTCTCAAGTTTCTCTTCCTGATCACATCATCTTTTCAAAACTTATGTGAACGTTTCGCCGTTTCAGGCCCAATTGCTTTTCGTGTTCCTTTTGTGTGCTAACATGTCTACAAATAAAGTACGTACTTTTTCATATGAATGTTGATTTCTCTACGAAAAGCCTGCTCCGAGTCTTTTTTTGGTATTTTCTGAATAAGAGAGAACTGAAAGTGAACTCAATTATGAATGCACGTTGAACCTGAAAATTTAATGTTTCCATATTATTTCATCATTTCATCCATTTTTCAATTAACTTCTAGGTGACCCACCCTTATTCGTATCTCGCACGCCATCCCAGCTTTGCATCCGAACCCATTTTCTTCCGTCATTCCTCATTTCTCATTTTCATCTCTTTTATTTTCATGACACCCCATACCCTCGTCATCTCCAAATGAAATTCGACACGTTTCTCTATGAAATCTGGGAAAACGAACAATTCACGGAAACATGGTGATCAGATAATCAGTTTTAGTGTGAAACACGTTGACGTAAATAGTGGTCGTTACGTTTTCAGCCAATGGGACTTGGTCTAGACAGAACAGACCTCTAGGGTAATATCAAAGAGTCTGGCCAACACTGTCCTCAAAATCAGTTTCTGGTCTAGGGGGTTTAATGTCAGTTCTCAGACAGGGCACAAAATGCAACAATGAATGATGCACAAGCGTTTCCGAAGATCGCCGAGCGTGAAAGTTCATAAATATGGAATTGCGGTGCGTGTTTAGTGACGTAGCAACGCACCGCACTTCCTCTCTCTCTCTCTCTCTCTCTCTCTCTCTCTCTCTCTTTCCAACCCTTTCAAGCTTGAGTGAATTTCGGACCAACATCACAGAAAAAGTACTACGGACCGGGGAGAAGGGAGAAGGTCATATCCTGGTTTGATGGAAACCGGACCGGAAGCCACGGACCTTTGGTTTCAATTTTCGGACACGATCTATGATTTCTCGTTCTTTTTCCATTTCACTTCTCCATTTAAAAAAAAACATATCCAATCACACAGTCTACCACACTATTCAATTCAAATGCTTTTCATTTTAATTTCAATTTTCACACTCTCCCTTTTTCATTGAAATATCCGAGTGTAGGCGGAGTCCAATGTTGCGGTCAACAAACACAATGAGGAAAAAATGGAGGCAGCATGGAAAAAATTCGATTACATTCTTGTGATTGTGCAAAACCATTCAGCTCGTCGCCTAGTTTTTGTAATAAAAATGAATCATAATCATCGGAACGAGAATACAGGAAGAATGCCGTCGGTTTTCTGCCGTTTCGGTCCGTTCCGCTTAAATTTGACGTTGACGTTGACGACTTTTACGGGAAACGAAGAAAAAGTGTCAACAAAATTGGAGGGGCGTATTTTGATCCCTCGTCAAGTGCATGTAGAGGAAAGCAAGGACCAGACGCGCATGTTTTTCCTTCTCAAGCAAGTTTTCGCACTTGCGGCTTTGCAAAACCTCAAACAAGAGGTGCCGAAGCATTTTCTCTTCCTTCTAGAGCTCCTCGTTACTTATTTGTACCTACATCTATGATTTATTAACCAAGACCTCTTCTTCATTATTTATTAGCCACATCAGCATTTATTTATCCTACAAAACATAAGACGCAAAATGAATGAGAGAGTCTCATGTTTATTTCATCCCCAACTTCCTCCCTCCTCAATGATCTCTTCCCGAAGACGGAGAGGGAGAGCCACCTTCCGATTCTCAAATGGGCATTACGTTTTGCTCACGGAGCATCTCATGTCATCACCTTCACTACCGAATTCGACTAATGCTTCCGGACTTTTGAAAGTCATGTAGATATATTTTCCGATGTGAATTTCCGCACGGACCCATTCACTTGAGCGCCGCGTTTTTGAACTTTGGATCTCTCCCAGAGCCAAGAGACCGTGCGCTAACTCTTTTTGGCTCTCTGTTTTACGCTTGAGACCTAATGACCTTCAGGTTTGTCTAGTGATCATGTGCTCTCACTTTTTGACGCAGATATTATGCGGCTGACATGACAGTTCATTTTATTTTCTGCGAAACTGGCTAGACAATTTTCAAGCGGATACTTTGCGAGCACATTTCCGTCACTGGTAGTCTAATATATTAAGATATCCGATTTTGTGATTGATTCTGTCATCGGGCCATCAGTTATTGCCCTCGAAAGCTGATCAGAGACGGATAAGTACACGACAATACCATCTAATTCCATCTAATTCCATCTAATTCCTACCTTCCCATTTTAGAAGCTAGAGTAAATCTGAAGAGCGAATCGCGCACATCCAAGAAACACAGTAAAAACAGCTAAGCCAATGATCCCTAGTGAGGTTCGAAACGGATAATACCTTACGACTCAAGCGGATAAATTACACCTCTTTATGAATGGCATCCCGATTTGGGAGGGGAGGGCTGACGTAAATTCATTTTTATAAGATCTCATTTTCTTGGATTCGTAGGGTCAGGCACTGATTCTGATTGACCTATGCCCTATACAGAAACTTGGCGGGGGGGGGGGAGGGGGAAACCAAAAAGCCCTATCCTCTCATGCTTTATTGTTGTCCTTTTATGTATGGAAATGAAATGATGTCGCTTTTTCGCGAGTTTATTATCGTTCACCTGGCACGACCTCTCCCCTCGTGGGCGGCGTTCAATTTTATGATCACGACTCTTCAGCGCCTTTTCTCTGCAAAACTCTACGGGACCGTAAAACCGTTAATGATGTGTAGTGGCTGGTTTTGTGCAATGCTCCGCTCCTTCTTCCTTCTTCCTCTTCCTTTTCTCCCTTTTTCTTTCTACACCGGTAGCCGCCGTCGTGTTCTCTGAATAGACGACTAATTACGACGTAACGTATCCCAGTGGAGGGGCGAAGAGCTGGAGCGTTGCTTATTCCGTCTGCTGGCTATGATGTTTGTGTGAATTAAAAGTGAGCGTTGCATTCAATCGATAAGCAGATTAAGAGTAATTTTGAAAGTGAAAAGTTAAAGCTCAGCACTTAATGAGCCTAAAAACGTTGCACCCCAAAGCTCAAAGCTATTTGGCGCGTTCCTTTAGAAACCTAACATTGTCTGGCCCCATTAACCGCCTCTTCTCTAATAGACCACCCTTTCCTGCCTCACTTTTAAGTCGGTCTTTCGAATCCAGAGGGTGCAACCTATTATTCAGGCTTTTCCTCCTCCGCCCATTCAATCGAATTTCTGCTTCTCTAAGGACCAATTCCTTCGTTTTCTTCCTCATCTCCCTGTTTACTCGGTTGTCTGAGATAAATTAGAGTCTATCAGCGAGAAGGCAAGTAACAGACAGTCACCGATTTCAGTCAGCTGTGTGTGCACGGTACCGGGTCCCTATATCAGCTGGCACGCAGCTTGTTGACATTTCGTAACAGACACGGCACGCGCTTCACTTTTTTGTACAGTAGACGTTGAAAATGAAAATATTTTCTTCACAAAGATTAGATAAAGTTTGCAGTATAAATACGGCCGACAATTGTCGCTCGTCGGAGCTTTCTCTCAGAAAAAGAGATCTCACTTTTCACCAATTTTCTCTTCAAAAAGCGCAGTAGACCCAAGATGTCAGGTGCCATGATTAATCGCCGGAGAAGACATTGAATCGCATCCTGCTCCTTCTCTCACTTTTCATCTTTATCTCCCCCAGATAACAAGGGTCTCTGACCCCCCACCCTCCCGAAATCTTTCTTTTCGCTTTTTTTCTTTCCTTGCAGCCGGAAGGAAGGAAGGAAAGGAATAATGTGCGGTGCACCTTTTTATTGTCCGCCCGATTTGCTCGCCGATGGCCGATTGATGACATGTACATACATCACCATAACTCTTGCTGAAATGGCTCCTCCGAGTGGACGGAAAACATAAAAAATAGTTTTCTTTCCATTCCTCCATTTATAAAACCGTTCGGTCGTAAAGATGAATCAGATTTCCGATTCTGCAAAAACTGACCAATGCGATTCGTCTTTCTCGAAAGAATCATTCATCAATCGTCACGTTCCCCCATTGCTCACGTAACTCTTCACTTTCCCACCAGCTCTTTCTCATTCCCACAATTTCCCTTTTTTCTCCTCTGTTCCCGCTCGAATTCATCAAATCACACAGGGTGTTCACCTGAGTGCCCGCCGTCCCATGACGGGTTTCCATGTGAAATACGCAGTTGCCCGGGTGATGAGGACCCTCACATCGGCGGAAGATCAGCGTCAACGAAGTGTGCTCACTTCCCACAAATCAATCTCTCGTTCCGTTTTTGACACGTTCATTTTGCATTCTCACTTGCCGTCCGTTGTTTTTGTGCTCGACGAATTCATTCCACATCGAAACATTTTCTTTTCAGAACTTTTTGAAAGACCGCCAACTTTCAAGAACGAATCAACGAATCAACTGTGATAGCGCTGTCTATAGCCCCCTTACGAAGTGGAATGATGTGGATGAACGGAGGAGCACCAGTACCGCCGCCGTACGGAGCACCGCCACCGCCAGGACACCCCCTGCACGGACTTCCTCACCCGGCCTATCCGCCCGGACACCCACTCCACATGCCTGTAATGGCAATGGGACCGGGCGGACCGCATCCCGGAATGCAGCAAATGGTCAATGGAATGCCGGTTCTGCAAGTGATCCCGAATGGTGCCGGTCCCCATCAGATGATGCAACAAGGACCTTCTCAGTCAAATGGAAACCACATTCCGCAACGAGGACGTCCCCCTGGAAGAGGTGCGTCCGTTTTTGTTATTTGGTTCAGAATTCTCATTTGCTTCTACCAAACATCACATTTTGTGCTCCACTGACTCATCATAATCTCCTGTGCATAAAGCTCATTAAGCTTAGTATTAGCCCAAATAAGGTGTTCTAAATATTTTGTGCGTGATCATGCAAAACTATTCGCATTAATTTTGAAGCGGAAGTTTTATCTTTACTATAATTAATCTAAACAAAATGAAAATGAGGGCGGATTCTGAATTAATGCAAGTTTAGGGGATGTACCTTTTTCCCACATGGCGCTAAACTTTTTGCGAACTAGCCCATTACGTTTCTCAGGATTTGTCACTTGCTTTGAACTTTATGCGTGAGAAATTCCGGATTCTTGTGCTTTCGCAAAGTTTATTTTCCTTTTCAATTGGGAAGTTATTTCTGACTTTTGAAAAAGTCACGGAGCACATTGGAAGGGGGTTTGGTCGTTGAGCCGCAGAAGAGAATAGAATTTTAAATGTATGTATGTACTTGTGCAGAAACTAGACACTCCATAAGCTTCATAACGTGATAATCGTTTTAGTCAACAAATTTTAATTTTTTTGGAAATGTCAATTCAATTCAGATAGCATAAGTTCTTTGGAAATTTGTAGAACTCTGATCAAAATGGTTATGAAAAAATAACCGGTGAGCTCCCAAATTATCAGTTTACACCTGCGTGCCAAATGTAAATTCGAAATACTTCCTAGCAGTGCTCAAAATATGCCGTCGCGCCCTTAGAACCGCAAATTATACGTTTTCGTCATTTCCTTTCGCATGATGTTGCCAGACCAGAAACCTACAATTAGAATAGATGCCGAGCACAATACCCAGAATTATTCCATTCAACATTTCAGTCAGAGCTAATTATAGCGTTTGGTGAACAATGTCTAGTCTAGAAGATGTTTTGATGATTCGAAAGATCTTTTGTGCGTGATGAAAAGATGAAACCCTTTTAAGAAAATCCGGATCAACAGAGAAAGATATATAAATATACTTGAGTGACAGAATGGATAACCCGTTCCATACGTTGGAATGCGTTCTCTGATCAGAGATGGAAGGTAATTGGCGCCACCGAAAACGTGCCTTCCACTCTTCGCTTCCCTTCTTGCAAGCATGATTGATCAGTCAAGACGGAATGTCAAAGTCCGTGGCGGTACTTTGGACCCTACCGTACTCGGATGGAAAGTCATTTTGTTCCTGTCATGTCACCACTAACTATTCGCTATCTGTTATCAATACACGCAGTCCGGCCTTGGTCGCAAACGCTCAACCATCTGATGACTCCTACCATGTGATTGAATCAAAGTTCGTAGTTTTATATTCAGTTACATGCGCCTCGTTTTCCAATCAGTCGTAGAAAGATCGATCAAACCGCAGTTACCTTCTCATTTTCTGATTTCTACCCGCTGTCCAGACTCTTCACTTTGTTAGTCAGTTTCGTTCCTCGGCAAGAGTTTGCGTACGTGTGTGTGTGTTTCGCTGATCGAACGATTTCTTGATCGCAATGATTTCTGACGAAGATCGGGCACAAAACCAAATCGAGGCACAATGGTACGGTATGCAAATGGCAAAATTCTCAGCGCTCTCATGTTTCAATGAACCCTTGACCGACAGTAGAGTCTTCTTTCTCTCGCGCCCATTTTAATACAGACCGTCATCGACTGTGTAATGATGAAAAGTGGTCTCTGTCTCTTCTCGACTCTGTCTATTTGATCAGCTCAAACACGCGCACTGTTCTTCTCTTCTTTATTTTCTTTTCCCTTCCATGGACCTCACCAAACCATACTCACCTATCCGATCAAAGAACTTCTCGAATTGATCCCAACTTTTTGCTTGGTGTGAAAAATGTGTGAATGTAAATATTTGTGCATCCGATACTCTTTTGGGTGGAATGTTAACTGATCACTCTCTCTCTCTCTCCCGTCTTTTATGATCAGCACCTTTCTACCGCCCACAGTCTAGTCAACCGTATCTTCTAGCTTGTTGCGAGGAGAGGGAGAGAGAAGACGGAGTGAAATGATAAGCGCTGATATCAAAAGTGACATTTTGGTGACGAGCGTCATTTTCTGCTCTTTCCAACCCCTCGGTGTCATTTACAAACCTATTTAAATCTCTTCTCTTGTTCGTCGACATTCGTGTCTCGATGGCCTAAACGGATTTACTGAAGAGGGCAACAGCACCTGACTAAACTAGACTTCATCAACCACACGACGATGCTAATCTTTTGATTCTCAACGGCTTCGGAGTGCTAATTCCTCCAATAGCAGACATCAGCGTAGACGTAAACGGAGACGTACACGCCTTCAATTTTGTAATAGAAATGAGAAGAATAGCAGCCAGATGACGTGTCACATGAAGAAAAAACCAATTTCGGAGTTGTCTGTGGCGCCGACGCTCCCTCGTCTAGTTCCGCTCTCTTTGCAACACTTTTAAAACCTGCCATCATCTCACCCGCACGCACTACACAAATGAAGTGTAGCATGATTTTTGCTTCTCTTTCTTATCATTTCCACCCCGAGGCGGTGCCGCAAAGGTTCGCTTTTCCGGATCAATCACGCTTTCGTTTTTAATGATACGTACGTAAGCGCGAGACATGCACGAGAGACAAAGAAAAGACTTTAACCTCGGGGTCTGATATGAATTGTGTAGTCAGCATATCACACACACCCCATTTCTTGCTTTTTTCCTGCCATGCCGCTTGCCTGTAACCGACCAGGTTGTTTGTTATTAATTGATTGCCTCTCGGTGTGACTTGCAATGAGAAATCGATACGTACACAGTATAGCTAGCCAGTTGATGATCGTTTGATTTCGTATTGATAATCGTAGGAAGAGGATCACAAATCACAGTCCGTACGCATAATTGATCAGGTTTCTCCCTCACAGTCCGACGCAGCCACTTTCATTTTCACTTTCAATTTCCAGTTTTATGCCAAAAGATCCGATCCGTTTGGGAAAGGGTTCAGTGTACAGTAAGTCGAATCATGTGAAATTGACAACGAATTTGACTCGACTCGACGAGTCACGTTTTCTACAAATATTGACAGTTGGCCAAGCAAAATCACAGAAAAATCATTGCTCCGTTTCTTCTTTCTGACTCCTCTCCTTCTAACTTTTTGTCGGAAACGTTCAAAACGACCAAACTACAAAGAAACAAAGTCTGACTGAACCGGAAGTTGCGTCTCCGGAGACGCACTTGTGTCTCTCATTGACCTCCAAAGAACGAGTGATCTTTCCATTCCTGCTACCGGTCGGACACAAATCATACAACCGATTTGCTAGATTTCCTATTTTGTGTCTGAGGCCTGAGGCCCGAGACCAAGGACCAAGGACAAGACACCAGCTCCCTCCATCACTCTGACCTTTTGTTGATCAGTTGGGGCGTAGTATCAAACATCTAGAAGGCCTCGAGACCCTATTCCATCATCCATTTATGAAGATGACGACGCCCAATTTGTGCTGTCTGAACTTGCACACTTGATAGCAATGTCTCATTAGTTGCGCAGCGCAGACATACGCAGAATAAGACCCTATTCGAAACTAAACTAAACTCTCCTCGACGGAGCAAACATCGAAGCAGAATAGCAGAAACTGGGCGATCAAAAGAACAAAACGCTCCCGACTTGCATTGCATTGTCCCCCGACAAATGGGTTGGTCGGGGGACAAATGGGACGTGAACGAGATGATGAGGATGAGTGTTCTCTGGAATTACAGAGAACATACTCGTACGTGTTTTTCTCTCTCTCTCCCCCCCTTTTTTTCTGCTCACGAATAAGAAGAGAGCCGGGAGTAAAGCTTTTCTCTCATTTTTCCACGCAAACATCATCCCCATATTTTGTGAGCATTCTAAGAAAGAGTACAAAGGTCGGAGTTTAACAAGAACTGAATTTTTTAAACATGCACGTTTTCCAAGAAAATTTTCCACAATGAATTACTGGGTCAATTGTGAAATTTTCAAAACTATATAGAAACTGAAGATATTAAACCTTTTGTTTTGTTTCTGGAATGAGGAAAAAGGAAACGAGAGCCGGTTCTTGTTTTTGCGCCCGCGCAGCTCCTTTAACACAAGGAATGCCAAGTTCACATCTCATTCGTTCCCACTAATGTATGTTTTTGTCTAGACCGATTTTCTCCAGACTAGGCTCGTGCCGGAACATCGCTAAAGAAATTGAATTCTGGAACGAAGCTCACATTTTTCCTCTTCTTTATTTCCCAACCCACCCACACACACACACACACAAACTGACCTTGTTCAGACGTTCACGTCATCTATTTTCTATTCCGATCCTCGCGAGCGCCCCTCACACACTAGGCGGTCATTACCACACTTTTGTAAGGGTACATCCAAAGTTCAACGACAAAATCTGAATCCCTGCGTGCGACCGTACATGTTCTACTTTTTAGGTTGGGGGAAAGTTTGTGTTGTGCTTTTCCAACACGACGTTTAGTTTGTTCGTTCTTCCCTCCCCTTCCTTGACTCTTGTTTTTATCGAATAACAAACACAACGATTGTGTTCTCTTGTCTAGCACGTGTTTGACATCCTAACACGTTTTGCAGTGTTCTTTAGGCGTTCTTTTCAAAAGTCGAAAACAGAATCCGACCTAAATGCCACCCTGATGAGAAATCCTCGATAAAACATCGGTACCAATGGTCGTATTGTATTCTCTGTATGTACATATTCCATTCCTCTTAATGAATCCTCCGATGCAAATCACGAATAGGAAATGCGTAGTTCACGATCAGATACAAATCATCACCCATCATCATCATCATCATCATCATCAAAGGTCTTTCATTCATCGAAACATTTACCAAACAATACACAAAATGTTCAAACAAGCTGTGCACACATGCCTGGGTCAACAATTAGAAATGATGGGAGGAAGGGAGGGGTAGAATGCCGGAGAATGAGTCACAAGAACTTTTAACACTCATTGAAATGCAAAACGCCTCCTTCTCCCACGATCTCGAATTCCATAAAGCGCGTCCATAGAAACAGAAACAGCCACCCGCACTCTCTCTCTCTTTCTCTCTCTCTCTCTCTTGGTCGGTTTCAATCCTTTGTCGTGTCGCTCAGAAAACCGTTGACTGATCAGCAACACTTTGTAGAAGATCAAGCCCGAAAGGAAGAATAGGAAAGCGCGCGGGGTGTTCCATCATGCCTGTCTCTTCTGCAGGCCGACCGCCGGAAAAGAGAGGTCAACAGGAAACGTTTGGTGCAGAGCTCTTTCTCTTTCTTCCCCTTCCCCTCCTTCACCCCCGCCAAACAGGCAATCCAATCCGTGCCCGTTTTCGTTATCCAAATAAGCTGAGTGCGAAGTCCACAAATATGCAACTTTTCGGTCTTTTCGCCTTTCCTCCGTCGTATTGTTCAAACAGTCTTACGGCTTTGTATCTACTCTAGTGTGGCCAGCCTATCCCGTCTCCCTTTTCCGACAAATCAAAGATCGTCGAGATAGGCACAGAAACCGGATGAGGCCGCCAACGCAGCACCACCAACACACTTGTTTCGATAGTTGTCTTGTTGGCTATTATTTCTTTCCCGTCTCATCCTCCTAACCATCCATCTCCATCGTTTTCGTCATAGTTCAGTGGCAAACTCAAAATGAACTACATCATCTGTCCGGGATTTGTCAAATAGTATAAGCGTATAAATTTATTTTCATCCAAAAGTTTCTATTTTCCTCTCTCTCTCTCTCTCTTTCTCTGAATCACCTGTTCCAGCACTTCTGTTCTAATAGACGTCACTCCTTTTTTCAGCTGAAGGCCCGAACTCCTCACTTGTAGAGGATAAAGCAAAGAAACAAAGAAAAGCATCGAAAGGAACACCGCAGAAGCGGCCAGAAGGTTCGTTACTGTCTTTTCCTAGTCAGACTTGTCGCGACTCGGACTGGCCCGGTTTTTAGTACAAAAATTTAAATTGTTTTTGAAAAATCGTGACTTTTTGTAAATTTTCAACTTTCAAATTGCCTTTTCCGGCTTGTACTAGCTAATCCGATTTTCGACATGTCTGGTCCTAGTATGTAGTCTAGCCCTATCCGTATTTTTCATTACGTGAGAGTTTCTATCCTTTCTCCGTTTCCGTGGTCGTAAACTTCATTTAATCTCCTATCTTCTAGTCTAGCTTCCTCTTTCCAAAGATTCTATTGATTCAATGATCTTTCGGTCTTTCGGAAAATTGCTTCTCCCTCCCTCTATCTCTCTGTTTTTCTCTTCTGATGTGCATCCGTCTCTTTCTTGTGCATCTGGGCCATTGCCTCTCCTCATTTCCGTATCTTCCTTCTTTTCGCTGGGAAGGAAGCGGTCAAAGTTCGCACGATGACGCTTTTAGTATGGAATGAGTCGTCGAGAAGAGAGAAAGAAGAGAGGAAGAAAGAAAAAAGACAAAAACCGAAGGAATTGAAATACGATCTGTTGTTGTATCCTCTTCTCTTCTCCCTGCTCCCCCACTCATTCAGATCTCACATTCGAAAATGGTGATGTGTCAGTCGTGCCCACAACTGAAATACAATTTTGTTCATGTTTGAGCTTAAGCTTCTTTGCCTTTTTTTTTCCAAGAATTCATCAAATTACATTATATGCATTAAAGATCAGGTCCAAATCCTTGTTCATTCAGCTGCTGTTCTAATCCTAAGCCGGGCGGGAATTATTCATATCGCCTCGCCAATCAAGAAAATGATGCATTCACCCATTTCCATGCTTTCTGTGTGGTCTGCTCCATCTGCACTTTTCTGTTTATCGTCCACATTTGTCTGGTTGCTTCCTTGTTGTCCGTTTTCTTCGAACTAAACCTTCTAGCGCCCACCGCTTGTTATTTCGGAGAAACAGAACGACGGACGGACGGCGATCGAATCGTAGTCGCAGATTATTATCCGTTTCTTAAGTTTCTCGACAAGAATACTGAATACTCTAGTCGACGTGACGGATGAAACAAGTGTGTGCACTCTTTTGCAAACGTCTCAATATATTCCTAGAAATGCTCCTTCCCCTCCCTCTCCGACCTCTTCGATTTGGCTTTCATACACAATTTTTTATTCAGGAAGTATAGGCGGTCTATTTTGCACGTATTCTTGAAACTAGCGAGCCCAGGAATTTCCTTTTCGTTTCCTATTTTATCTGGCGCCTATCTTCATACCCTCTTGTCGACCCGTAATGTCCTTGGACAAACCGATGAATTGGACAGATTTGGAGGAGGACGATCACCTCTCGAGATAAATGCCTCACGTACTTTTGTGTTCGGCTAAGATCGCCACTGCAGATAACGAGTAGCGTGGGCCCATTTCACTCTGGAGCGGTTCTTTGTCACCACTTCTCTTCTTTCTTTTTCATCTTTTTGGATGTCATGCCACACACACACACACACACACACACACACACACACGCACTAGTTTTATTTTTCTCGTTCGTCACCAAAAGTGAGAGAAAGAGATGGGAATATAATTTTAATCTGAAAATGCTGTTCCAAAGACCAGTTCTCTTCGATTTCGATTTCGATTTTCAACCTATTGAAATCACTGATCATCGTTTTTCTCTGTTACTCAAGTTGTCGTACTTTGGTACAGTATGCATGCACAAAATAGCAAAATTTAGAAAAATGGCTTCAATTATGCATCTTTTCGAGACAGTATGCGATGTAAATTATGATGATTGGGGGCAGTGTCTAACACATATAAATTTAGACTCCGCACTAGGGAAAAGTACACACAACATTCTCTTTCTCTCTCAAAACCGACATAAACAAACTCTCTCATGCTGGACCCTTTCCATTTTCGAGCATCTCAAATTTCGAGAACAATACACAATAACTTTCACACACACAAGAGTGTACTTTTGATCCATTTAAGTACCAGGAAATTGGTTTTTTTCCATCTTCCTTCTTCACTTTTCTTCGTAGGAGTCTGCTTAAGATGATCTTTGGAGCAAGAGTTCTTGTTTTTTTCCCTTTTGCTATTCACATTTCTCTTTCTCATTTTTTTCATTCTTTCTTCGTCGAAAACCAGAAAACCGAGCATGCGTGTGGTATGTAATCCGTTTTCGGTTTCGTTATAATCTCTCTTATTCGCGCATAATCTTTCTGCTCAGAACGACCTGATTCGTGAGTGTAATGATTGGGATTAGAAGATGATCTCTTAGAGTGAGAGAGCTCGCAGTGAAAAAGAGAAAGTACACTTTAGTCGTCGTAAAGGATGCTTCAGACGAGACGAAATTCTCTGTTTTATGCATGGAAAAGCCGCTTTTCTCTTCCGCCCTCGCTGCCACTTTATAAGGTTGAAGAGCAGGAACAAAGAACGGAGCAGAGCATAAAACAGAAATCAGCAAATGGAATGTGATCTCTGCTACTTTTTGCCGTTTCCTTAACCGATTCGAACAAAAAAAAGAAGTTATCCCTATACATGTATTTTTGATGGTCTCGAAGCGATTGTAGTTAATTAAATTTACAGCGTCTTTTCTGGATGGATTAAGTGGTGGTCCAAATAACGTCACATCAATAGAAATAAGATAATCAGATTGTGTTAGTGCACCACACGAAGATGCCGAGAATAGAATAAGTCTGCATTCATACGTTGCTCACGCAATGTTCACACATTTCTCACTTCCGCGCAGAAAAAGGGCTAAACTCTAGCTTTTTCCTTTATGCAACAGAGGTCCCTGAGCGCCCCTGGCCTTCTCTAGCCCAATGAGCAACCAAACTAAAGCCGTTTTTTTTCTGCGTTTTGTTTCTTCTGGCACTCCAGGAAGATTTATCCGTGCTCCGCACATGTTTCTCTTCAACTACTCTACACCAACGATCAGTGCCACGATCGTGTGGAAACGACAGGAGGGTCGGAAGAGAAGCATCTTGGCTCTTTCTCTCTCTCTCTCTTTCTCTCTCTCCCTCTCCTTCACAATGTAAAATTCCTCACACACCGGCTGCTCTATCCCTTCTGTCTTCCCGCATTTCCCCCCCTCCAATCCGGTCGCAACCTTCCTCTTTTCTTTTTTTTTGGGGGGCCGTAGGGGTCAAAGTGTTTGTAGTCTGTTAGTCGAGAAGGTGCCCGTAGACAGGTAGACAGGACAAACATAGACAATATCACCGATGGAACGGGGATATACGCTACTATATTACAATGGCCGAATGACTGCTTCCGCAACCATCTTTGCATTTTCTCAAGTATCACACGTCACCGTGTTTATTCCGTGTCTGTCTTGAGTCGATTCGTGTGTCTCGGCACATCCGTCTTCCATCCGTCTATCCTAACCTTTCTTTCCGTTTTCTTGTTCTGTTCCGGCGCCCTTGCCGGTCTTCATGACGCCAGTGGGTCCTGAGAGTTGGCACGTTTTCCCTGATATTCGCACGTGGGCCATCGGGAACATGTACACTTGTGTGTGTACACCTGGGATCAAAAACAAACAGTGCAAACTTCTTATCTCTTACCTCTTCCACCTTTCATAATGATCTTATCATCACCCGTCGGGCATCATGACTATCAAATTGCATCAAATGTTTCTATTACCAACTGCCCTATCACTTTTATTACACTTTGTACACTAGTCCTTCTTCTTCTTCTTCTTCTTCTTCTCCTCCTCCAACTTTTCGATCACCTGCCTCGTGCAGTTCCAACGATCACTAAATTCCACTCAGCTGCTCTTCACTATTTCTGTTCTTTTAAGGATCGGCTATCCTGCACATTATTTTTCTTATTTCTCATTCCTAAACATCTTTTTTTGCAGAGATGAATGTGAGCAACGGAATGAACCAGGCGTCGGTGAACCTCACGCCGGCACAATTACAGGTTAGTGAACAATTCCGAATCAAAACACTTGTACAATGGGACACTGGTATTTGTGTAGTGCCCTCATCCTTGTCCTCCTTGCATTATATATCTAAGAAACCATATTCCTTGTTTGCATTTCTACTTGAGTATGTAGGTAGGAGGTAGTAGGCAGTAGGTAGACGGCGGCGCTAAAGATGACAAATTATTTGCAAAACCTGAAAGACAAATGTTTGATGGGAGGGTTTGGGGCACAGACAATGACTCATTTCAGGCAGAAAAAAATATGTTGTCATTTCAGAATCTCCAAAACTTGGGGATCAATCCGGCGCAGTTCGCAATGATGGGGCTCCAACTACAAAACGGAGTGATAGCCCAGCAGCACCAGCAACCGACGACCGCCAACATGCAAGTGGCCGTGTCAGCACAACAGCCTGTGGTCAACGTGCAGGCGCCAATGATCGCACATCCGCCAGTCCCCCAACCACAGGCGCATCAATTGACACCTGCACAGGCGCAACAAATTCAAGCAGCTCAGCAGCAGGCAGCACAGCAGGCAGCTCAGCAAGCAATTCAGCAAGCAGCTCAACAGGCACAACAGCAACAACAGCAGCAGCAGCAGCAAGCAACCGTCCAAACGCCTCAGCAGCAACACCAACAACAACAAGTGCAGCAGCAGCAACAGGCGAACCCGCAAACCGCGCAACTACTCCAACAGTTCCAGGCTGTGCAGGCAGCTCAAGCGGCCCAAACAGCCCAAGCAGCCGCACAACAGCAACTAGCGTTGCAACAGCAGTTGCAGCAAGCCCAATTGGTCAACTCACTGGCGAACCCTCCTTGCCCTCCGCCACCTCCTGGTATTCCATCGATGCCCTGGCCCATGTCTACGCCAGTTTGCCACATACCTTACTTTGACATGAACCTTTACCGAAGTGTGAACATCGAAGCACCGCCAAGCCACGATAATTCTGGAATGGATCTACCACTCACAGATATAACCACATTGAGGTTTGAAATTGAAAATTATTTGTTCGAATAATTTGCATATGTTTTCAGGTTCTTCTTCAATCTTGGAGTACAACAGTCTCGGAACTTAATGACTGCGCGACAGCATCAAGCGGCACAGCAATCCCAACAAGCGCAGCAACAACATCAACAGAATCCCAATGAAGTGAACTTAGCAGTGTTAGCCGCGCAAGGAGGGAATGCCAACAATCTTCTGGCGCTAGTCAATTCTGCAACTAGTGGTGGACAGGTGCCGAACCAAGGAACCATTGATCAGCTTCACCAACTTATCGGCCAACATAATGTTCTCCGACAAGCTCAACAACTCCAAGGTCCACAAGTGCAACAACATATGCTTCAACAACAGATTGGACAGCTCCTGGCCGCGCAGAGAAATCAACAGCAGCAGCAGCAGCTTCAGCAACAACAGATGCAGCAACAGGCCAATCAGAATGCTATGCAGTCGCAACTCCAGCAACAGATCAACGCGATTCTTGCCCAACAACAGCAAGAACAACAGCGTCAGCAACAGCAGCAGAATGTGCAGAATGCTCAAATCGCCGCGGCTGCCAATGCAGCGGCTGTCGGTACTGTTCCAAATATACAGGAGCGCAAGGTTCCCCATACAGAGCTGGTCAACGCTACCGGTCAACCCGTCAACATTGGAGGAGGAGCCACATTCGTCTCAGGTGGCATCCAACAGCAGCCTGCCACCACTCCGATCCCACCAGCGGCTACTCCAAACTCTCAGCAGCAACAGATTCAGAAGCACTTTGACGGACAGACCCTTCTGTTGCAACAGGCTCTTCTGCAGCATGCTAACAGTAGTACGTTTGTGTAATGTCGTGTTAGTTTAGAAATTCTTACATTTTAGCCAACAACACTGGAAACAAAGCGACGCTTCACGACATCCGATTCCAAGTGATGGCTCAACAACAACAGCAAGTCACGACTTCGGGAGCTGGACCGTCCAACCTTCATCCATTCATCCGCCCAAGCGAGGTAACTCATGATCGCCGTTACTGTGCACGAAAGATTATTGAGCTTGAGTTTGCTTTTTTCTATTATTTGATCCGGCTGATTCCGCTTACTTCAGATCTAGACAAAATTTATCATAGGTTAGGGGAAAACCCTCGATGCGAACTGCAATTTCATCCGGAATTCTCATTCCAGGCTGTGAGGGCGGCTGCCGCAAATGGCGGTGAGCCAACCCTTTCGCCGCGCCCGATCCCATTGGATCCGAGCCCACCACGCGCCACCAGTGGGGGCTCTGTCAACCTTACCGCGGAGCAACAAAAGGTACTCCTTTCAATCGATCATCTGTACTGCCGCTTTAATCTTGATTCGTTCGTTCTGGGTTTTTAACGTAGTTGTGTAGTATAGATGAACGTTGTTCGTACTTGTTGTTCGTGCACACACACACACACATACACACAAACACACATAACCCAATTACAAAAAGGCACTATATTCAGGACACTGTCACTGTAGACGATGAGAAAGCGTCATCAAACTCTGGACCGAGCACTTCATCTTCCACTGCCGCTCTTACTCTTTCAAATCCGATCGGCATCGCCAATCCACTTTCGGTCTCGGCGGCGGGGTTTCACAACAGCAAGCCAACTACAGCCGTATCGGGAAACGGAAATCCGGGGTCGTCTGGTGCGACCCCTGTTCTTTCAATAATCCAAATGTCCGAGGATCATTTCACTGACACGTTTCGTAAAACTGAGCAAAAGTGAGTGAATTGTTTTAGTCTATCTCACGTAGGTAGCTTTTTTAGATTGATCATTGAACCGGTCAAAATGTAAGTTTACCGTAGCATGAATAGTATCGTCTGATGGTGCACAATATATTCAATTTTTACAATGATGTTGTTCTTTTTACTAAATATAATTTATTTAGGAGACAGCCAGGTCAACCTTCGGTTAACGGACAAGCTAACGGATCTCCAAAAGTGGAACCAATCGGTGACCACGAGGAACGTCCACCAGCGGTAAGTACCGTGAATTTCCTTCTAAAAGATAAATCGTCTTCTTCTCCTCCTTTCCCCCCGTGTCGCCCTCTGACATTGGATTTTTCAGTTGGCACCAATTTTGATGATGTCGTATTTGAACAATTGCATGAGTCACGCAAAGACACATTTGACCGCAAATGGAGTTCAAGTCGGAGTCGATGACAACGGCCAAGTTGTACGTTTGGTGATTCCTTTCTTATAATCTTTTTTTCCTTTCTTTTCCCATTGTGTGTGTTCAGAGTGTCTCAACGTTCGTTTGTTTCGCACTCAGAAAAGACAAATAGTTTGGTCAGCTAATATATTGAACGTTTTCCCTCTGTTTTCTTTTTTTTCTCAAAGCCTAGAAGTAGAGAACATACTCGTGAAGGTGGTTGTCTGGAATGGTTGCTATTAGTAACACTGTTGTCACTTTATGCAAGCACACAGCACCAATCGCTCTCATGAGAATTTCTCGCTTCAGGTTGACTTCTCTTCTCGTCCCATCGATCCCATTTTCAAGGACGCGCGCGAGGACATGAAAGCAAAAGACGTCCGAAACTTGGAGCATGGTGTCAAGAGACCATATCCGGGACCGACGACCCCTAACGGAAAGTCGACCAAGAAGAGCCCGTCGCCACAGCATATCCGTACGTTGAATTTCTAACCTGAAACTTATCAATTTACACTCATTTTAGGTACTTCTTCAAATTCATCATCCCCGCTACGCAACCCACTGGGAATCAACCGATCGGTAAGCTGGTCCCGTTTTGCCCGGAAAATAACAAAAAAAAAAGATGATTTGTGCTCTCTTGCCAGTCGTTTAGTAATTTTAAATCGCGTCATTTTTTGTCGCTCCATTCAAACCGCACTTCCCATTCACAAAACGTTTCCTTTTTTCTTCTTTTTCACCCTCACATCAAATCAATTATTCATTTTTGCTCTTTCAGATCCCGGACGCCGTACTACCACCAAAGCTCGATGCCGAGCACGATAGATCGCCGGAAGACGACTCGGAAGACGATGGGGCCAAAAGACTACGCATCGCTACCGATGAAGAGTGAAAAGTGGAAAGAACACTTCATGCATGATAATAATAGTAATATTGTTCCGATGCCTTATAGATAATTTATTGATTTTTCTGGTTTTGCATTTCCATTATCACTCAAAATGTTTCCGATAGTCTGACCTCTCAGGGTTTCTCAAATCTCATTATTCCCTCAATGTGATCGCTGCTTCTCTTTCCTGTCATCTCCAATACCCGTTTGTAATAGGTTTTCCCCGTTTGTCCACAAAGTATATTGCAGAATAATTTCAAAAAAATCCAAAAAAGTTGGTTTGTTCAGTTATCGTCTTGTGTATTCGTTTGTTCTTTGCTTTAATCGATTGTAACTCAAAAAGATCCTAGTTTTATTTTCCATTCCTAAAACCATATTGCTGCTTTCATTTGTCTCCAAATGTTCCTTTAAACACTTTCCTCTCCTCTCGCTTTCATCTGGCTTCAATTGTATTTTGCAGTTAGCGTCTTGTCTACCGTAATCCCTATCCCGCACATATCTTTTCTGGTTTGAACTTTGGCGGATTCTACCCGAAATTATCACTGTGTACTTTTTAATTCCGACCCCGTTCACGTCATTTACCCTTCTAAACTATAGCAATCTTCTTTCTTTCTGCTTTCCTTTCATCTCCTCTCCAAAAAATGCTTTTCGGTCCAGCTTCTATTCTATTCAGCATATATAAAAAAGCTTTTTTCTTTGAAACCAAACACAAAACATCACAAAACATTCAAAGAAGACACAAAGAAAAACTGATCTTGCCGCAAATCAGCACGTCACACAATTCGACAGTTGTTGCAGCTACAACGTGGTCGGATTGTCAGCCGACTGCTGAACCGCCATTGTTATCTGCGTCGGGCAGCAACCCAAGTTCTCTGATGCCGAGATCTTTGTCCAGACAACACACGACGGCCTTCAACAGTGTTGCCGCCGCGACAAACACCACTCAAACGCTATCATCTTCTTTCTGATTCTCGTATCATTAGACCAGATTTTTGAAGGTTACCCGGCCATTTCTCGCTCATCAAAAGTTTTAGAAATCAAGAAACCACCCAGACAGGGGACTTGTGTGCAGAACCCTTGAACACACATCCCCCCGGATTCTTGGTGCTGATCTCTGGCGGAAGCCAATGACGTTTATGCGTTTGATCCTGTGGATTTGTGTAGTTTGGAAGGAAACATCGTACTCGTCGCGTAATCGCACACAATCGGATTGATATTCATGCAGGAACGTGGCAAAAATTGTGGTTTGGAGTCCGGTGATAGGGTTGTAATCAGTAAACAGTTTCAGACTTAAATTTGATGTCATTTCGTTTTCGGATAATGTGGGAGTGATACAGCTGAGCTTGAAAAGCAATCAAGTAACTTTGCACTGAAGCTCAATGCAAATTTCAGAAACAGCTGCCATGTTCTGAAAAATTGATTGAACTATTTAGAAATTTTCAGATTTTTGGAATTTGTTTCAAAATTTTCCAGATCGGTGGGGTCAAGGACTTTCTTTGTGAAACAGGTACAATTCGTCGGTATTCCCGCGTCGAGACCCTGTGTTTCCAGTTTCCCCACTCGAATGTTTTTCAAGTCATTAGTGACGTCACATCGGAACAAAATTACAAACGTCAGATTATACCTTCCTCTGCAAAATTATACAAAACTTCCCGGCTCACTCCGTCGTCACGAGAAATTAAATCTAGTTCAGACGCAGACATAGGTGATCTGTTGAAAACAAGACTTTGTGTTGATCTGGAAATGTCTTGTTTTCAACTATAAGTGAGCCCCCAAAACACGAAATTGTTGTGCGATCACTTTGCCCGACCCAGATCAGTAGTTTGTAATCTTGTTGTTCGATTTACAAAATCCATGATTACTACAAAATCCATGATAACTAATCGGTTCAGACATTCACTTCCCTTAGTCGTCTATCCGCGGATAAGCTCGTGTGTTTTCGTACCGACCCGTTCGACATCGTGCTAAACTCTCTCGTTTCATCTCCCAACTAAAATCTAGTCGTCAGACCAGAAAGTCCAATGTTTGCCGAGCCCACATCCATCAGAATGAAGTATAATCCAATCGAAAATGCAGACAGACACACCACATCTCGGTCTGACATGTTCCGATGGTCGGCGCGTTCTAGACCACTGCGACTGTGCTTTGTGGTGTGCTCCAGAAAAACCCTAGATATAACCAAATAAATGTTTATAAGTTCCAAAAATGCGCTACAACAAGGACGAAACTAGAAGAAAAGACAAAGCAGAGGAAAGGGAAACCAAACAAAACATAGAAAAATGAAAGACCCGTGGGGAGAAAAATGAGGATAGAACCGGAAGATACAGTATGAGTATCACATATAAAAATAGGTAGTCTAGTACGAATAGGGATTGAAAGAAGGGAGAAGAAATGAAAAACATTGAATTAATATAATTAGGCAACGAGATCGCAGTTAATTGTACTCTTCGTGTTCGACTGCTTGATACTTATTATCGTTCATGTGAATTATGTTGTACTGATCGGCAGCTGTTAGGGTCTTCACTCCATTGTGATTGAGCCCTCGGTAAATCTGAAAATAATGGAGTTACACCTCAGCCGAAGAACCTCTCAATAGCTTACTTTATGCATATCGGAACGTGGCACCAAGGATGTATGTCGTCCCCATACCATGTTTCCTTTTCCGAGAATTTCGTCGTCTGGAATGAAACATGTGTTGATGACCTTTTTCTAACACAATAATTCAATCATTTGCCCCTCTTCCCGTTTACATGATCGCATTAAACTATGGTTATGTTTTTGCACTCACCATCGCTCCAAAGGCTCGCCATGAAGTTCGCCTCTTTCTTTGTGCTATTGTTCAAATCCATCAAGTAACTGGAGTACGGTACCTGAAATGTGGGCTCTTATGATGCACGCCGTGCACTCTATGAATCTTACATCAGAGCAACTATCGGTGGTGTTGGAGTCTTGGGAGGAGCACTCGGCCTCTGAGCATGTACCAGGATAGAAACCGGTCTGAAAGAAGGACAAACGTATTCATAGAGTACGCCTGATGACGGCACGGAGCACCAAAAAAAGAATGAAAAGTACTCGTTTATCACCTAGTGAATGACCCTTTACTCACTTCTACGCCACACGCCGGGAAGGCTGCAGCGTGCTGACATGGGCACATTCCATAGTTAGCTGACGCGAGCGCAATGAAAGTACCAATTCGATGGGATATATCTGGTCCGATGTCGCATGTTTCGGTGGTGGACACAAACTGAAACACAAAGTATAAAGAAACCGCATCGGAAGTGACGTGCTCACCGAGCCTCCCTGAATTGCCTTCCGGGCAATGCTCACACCCATCGAGTGAGCCACGATGTTGACCCGTCCGGTCTTTGTGTAGTGGAGCACGATCTCGATGAAACGACGGTGGAGGTGGAGGATTTCACAATTGAAATGCCTGGAGTGATAAAAGACTGATAATATAAATTAGATTTCAGAACTCGCTCACCTTGTGTAAGAGTTTGAGATATTCCGGTCTCCGTAGGTGATACCATAGAGCTCGGCGAGTGTATAATCTTTCGATAAAAAGTATCTAATCACGTCATCCCATCCAGATTGGAAAGGGTTCTCTCCGACTTTTAACGCCGAGTCCGAATTGCCATGCACGAAGATGATCGGCGTATTTGTTAGCTGAAAAATTCCCACATTTTCTTTTGCTGTTTGTAATTTTCTTAGAAAACGAAACGCTGGTTGCTACATACGCTACATACGCTACATACAGTTTGTGTTTTTCGTAATGAGCCCAATTTGAAACCAAAACACACGAACCTTTCGGGATTCAGTGATCAAGGACTTTTGCAAAGAACTCAGACCCCCGATCCAAAGTTCTGTCAATGCTTCTAAGCCAGTCTTTGATTTAAAAAAAACCGATTAGGCTAAACTCCGCAACCGCAATGACGTTTCCATCGGAATGATCAGACTTGCGATCGGCGTCTGTTCTTGGACTCCGGCAACATTTGGGAAATGCGTAATCGGAAGTAAATACATGTCACTTCTCGTTGACCTTCAGAAACAAACACAAAAAAACGTAGTGTAGTATTCGAGCACTTATTGAATCTCCACTCAGTCGGAAAGGGAATTGCGTGGGGCCTACCCGAAATGTCGTCATGGAGCAAAAAAAAAAGAAGAATTAACGGAAAAAGGTTGGGGTTGCGATGCTGTTTTGTTTTACTTTTTACTTTTTACTTATTCGGGTTCCCACGCACTAGAACCACTTAGGGTCCAAACAAACGACTACTCAAAAAGCGGTCTTCCGGATTTGACCTGATTACCACCCACACCTCCGCTTCTGACTGCGTCGTTTGAGGACGTCATCAGCGACCGCACTTCAAGGAACAGTCACTTTCTGACAGACTGATCAAAACACAGCGCTTTTTTTTCTCTAGTGTCTACGAGTGACTAATCGGGATACGACGCTCTAGTGATTAGCGGACATTAATCAGGATTTGGTCGCGAACCTTTTCCTCTGAGAACACCTTGCCACCGAACGATCCGGTATCACCAAACATCGAGATTTGACGGAGCAGATTGTCGTTCCTTTTGGGTCGTCTGAAAAAAAGACCGACTGCCATAACTTTTCAAGGCAACTGTGAAGTATGTGTTCTGATCACGGCTTCTCTTCCGCTTCTCTCCGTAGGTGGCTAGTCAACAAACAAACATCAAAAGGCAGTGGCCCCTATGTGGATAAGCGCAGAGAAGGACGTCGCGGTCAGTGTGAAAAGTTCACACTTCTCAACTTGAATGGCTCCCTGGTCTACCTCGCCAAGGTTTGAAGTCTGAGACAAAATGGGAGCTAATCAGAGGTTGACGAAACTGTTTAAGAGATTTGTTGTTTGTTTCGGAAAATTGTTTACGGAAGACGAAGAAGGTGTGTTTTGTTGTTGAGATGATCAGTACCGGTGACGATTGGGGTGAATTGTAGCTAAGGTGGACTAGGTGGTTTCAGAGAACTGAGAACAATCACGGGAAACATTGAAAACATCAGATAGAATCTGGATAAGTAGGTTTTTCTCAGAATAGGAAATGGGATAGGGATGAGATGATATTAGATGTATGTGTTTATGTTTCAAGGATGTCAAAGTTCAGATTAGACTCACTTGTTGAGGTGGTGGATGAAGTGATCCGAGAGTGGTCCGAAGATGTCCGCCACGATCCCAGAACAGAGTAGGGCGAGTAGTAACAGAATATTGTAGATCATGTCCAGTTAGTTATCTTCTGTAGAGCCGAGGCTAGAAGAATGAGGGGAAGCCACGGGGCAGAACCTACCGTAGTGGGGTGGGCGCCGGGAGAAGTCTGCGGAGCGAGAATGGGGAGTGAGCTGAAGAGCGTCGAGCAAACTAGAAGAAGTGGGCAGGGCCAGGCAGCGGTCAGTAGCAAACCAAAAACTTGCAGCTCGCTTAAATATGCTCTCTGTTCTTAAAACTCCACTGCGAGCTAAACACACTCGCCGAGAAAAAGGGAGAGACACGCCGCCTTGACACATCAGGAACGCCCCGCCCGCCACCCCGACGTGATGAAAGTAGCTAGAGCCACTGTAGATTCGATTAAGACGTCGAAGAATAGGAATGAGATGATGACGACAGCAACCGGGACGACTGATGACGGACATGGCGACAAGTGGTTCCGCTGACAGTGCGTATGACCGCCGGGCAAAGATCGCAGAATCAAACTTCTCGGAATTTCGGAAGAATCAAAGGTCCGATTAGCTCAAGTGCCCTCCCTGCGCATATACAAGTGTGAACATTGAGAGAAGTGGCCGAAACGGACGAAAAACAGCGTCGGCAATGATCTGGAGCGATCTGTTGGACGGTTTCTCGACATGACTCTTTCAACACCTGAAACCTGAAAAGGACAATTGCCCACTCTCATTTCTTCCAAAGTATTGAGATGGCGTCGTTGGCACCTAAAAAAAGTGTTGCTTTTTTTCCTACTTCCGTGCCCTTCTCGTGGGTTCCGGACCCGCTTACGTAGGATTTCCTGTGCACCCTGTAGGTTCAACACACAAACCTTTTTTGGTTTATATTGGTATGTTCAGACAAGTACTCGCGTTCGTCATCTCATTCTGACTACCACTGTTCCTTGAATACAACGTTAATCTTTTAAAACGAATATCTCTTTATGGTATTAATCAAATGCTTGAAAATCCCAAAGTATTATGAGCACAAAGATTGGTTGACCGAAAAATACACTTTTCGGGTCGGCATTATGGCTGCGGGGAGGGATTTTTTTCGCTGCCCTCCGAGGATCCAAAGCAAAAAGTTGAGATTTGGGCGAAAATTGCTGACATCAAAACTGCGTCATTGCGGGTCCACGGGGTTGCGGGTCCGCTTGTCCGTCATACATTTATGATGACCGACTGACGACGATTTTCTGTTCACAATGAGTCCTTTGCCCGAGTACTCTCATTAGTTGCATCCAAAAAAGGCTGGTCCAAACCAAAACACACGGAATGACCTGAGTCTTTTGCTGGTTGTTCGCCTGGCTCTGATCAAATCGAACGGGGGACAGAGAAGTGAATCATAGGCTCGTTATGCAAGGAGAGAGAGGGTTTGAACTAAATGAATACAAAATAATAACCATCAAATGCGGGTACAAAAATATGAAGGTGAATGGATGTGGGTGGGGGTGGGTGAAGCAGGGAACTGAAGAACTTTGGCAACATGAGTCGAACTGGGAGATGAGGTGTCTGAAGCGACGTTAAGGCACGAGTTCAAACAAGTTAACTAGAGAGCGGAGAAAACAAAGTAGTCCAAGTGGGGGATGGCCGGTGAGGAGTAAGTGGGAACCGAATCAGAAACCCTAGGATGAGAAGAGAAGTGAAATATAATCATAGCTGTGAGACACGCTGTTCAAGCGCACGTCAGTGTGTTATAAGATGAAATATTATGGTTTGATGCGGATGCGATCAGATTCTGAAGAAGCTTCAAAGGGGGGTAGGGGAGGAGGATGTCACAGAAAAGGTTAAAACGGGGATGTGATGGGAGTACGGTTATTAAATTCTACTTTTTGATGAGCGACAGGTTACGGAGCGTATCCGAGAGCTGACGGGCGTGCTTGACGATCTTGCTGCTCTTCGAAAGCTCCTTGCTCGCCGGTCTTGGTGCTTTTCCGTCGCGGATGTCCTGAGCAAACGCGACGATTTTGGCAACATCCGGATCTGGGTAATTCTGGAAAAAAAAGTAATTTTCTACTTCATGCTTGACAAAGATCAAGTGTGCATTATGTCTGGGTTTAATGGACATCAAGTTCAATCACATCCAATTTCCGGACAGGATTTTTGATTTTGTGTCTGGTTCCTCTGTGTTTAGTGAGTTTCTGACATGTTGCCGCGCCGCTGAGCTCTGATACTTTTGGACTTTGCGGTTGGTGCACAAGACCGCGCGGGGGACATTCCCATCGCTAGTGCTACAAAGATCACCAAAAAATTGTTTCGGTGTGAAACCTTCAAGAACATTCCATGTACCTTTGCTCTGCGGCTCATTGGAAAAAGAACGTAGGCGTGGGAAATAAGAGACACAACATTTTTCGCTGTCTGACTTTTGCCAAAATTTTCAGTCTTTAGACACCAATCATAACATTTCGGCAAATAAGGGGGGGGGGACAAACCTGAAGGAGACGGACACAAAACGAAAAGTCGCCTTTGAGAAGGGACTCTCTCTGCAATTCCATCATTGCCAAACAGACGTACGGGAGCAGAGCAAATCTGGAAATCAACAGTCAGTTGATATTTTTAGGAGAAGTCGGTTGAACCTGTGAGGATCCGAGAAGAGCGCATCCCACAGGGTGATGACGTCGGGAAGTGGAAACTCTTGGCTGAGCAGCAGGGACAGCCAGCGGAACGCGTAGAACTGAAACAAAAATGCATCAGATTCCAAGTTAAAGGATGTATGGTCTCCGGATCACGGTTCACACCTCTCATTTTGACACATCAAAGATAGAATCCAATTTTTGTAGATTCTGACTTCAAAACTTAAGAAATGTTTGCTACTGCCCACCGTCTGGGTGAAAACACAAGTCAAGGTTGGTTGATGAACGGCACGAACCAAAACAAAAAAGCGAAGGCGTTGTTGCAGTGAATTTCCCCCAAAATAGTCTAGCTGGTAGTTCCCGATTTATTATGACCAAACATGATGATTATTTTTATTTTCAACACCAAGTTTCACTGGAAAGTTGTTTCTACTAATTAGTTGTTCATTTTGTTCACTTTCTCACTCACCTGGGGTTTAATTTCGAGGGACGAAGTGAGATGCTTGTGAAGTTCGATGTCGAACGATGAGATCATGTTGTGGAAGGCCGACATCGTGGATTCTGGAAGAATGAATTTCTTGTACGTGTACGCTGCAGATGGCCAAGTACCTATTCCGCAGATACTGTCGTCCAGGGTCTTGATGAAATTGTCCTTCACCTCGCTCATCAGCTGCTGAAATCGAATCAAAACGTTTCATTTCTTACACGTACTCCACTCGATCAACCTAGACACTCAAGTCTTTTAATCTTACAATTTCCGCCTGGCTTCCATTTTTCATGAACCAATGGTCACACGTGTCTGCTAAGGCAACACTCAAACTACAATACCTGGAAGCAGAAGAATGTGTCCGCTTCGGCATAGGCGGCCCATTCCTCGTCGGCGTCGTTGGCGAAAACGTAATAAATCGGCGCGACTAGCTCGTTCATTCCCTGCACATATTGCACTCCGGGGTTCAGTTTGGCGTAGATGAACAGGATGCGCTCGACAATCTGAAAATAGTCAAGTTCCAGTTTCAGAACGCCTTTCTCATGGTTCAGATCGTACATGCCAGTGGAATTCCGAGTTTTGCGCCTGATTCGCGTCGTGTCCGGCTTTTGCCGTGGTGGTCTTCACACACTGAAAATAGATTATTCGATAGGGGTTTCTAATTCTGAATCGGTTTTTCTATTTTTGTCAAGATATCAAACACCTCGTCGCAATCTTTGCCCTCGAACAGATTCTGATCGTTTGGATGTCCTTGGTATTACGAAACTTTTCTAATGGAATTGGCCGCAGGTGCTGCTTAATCCTATCAAGATATTAATAGCTGCTAGTTTTTTCTTAGAACTCCAGATTAGCAACACAAACACATAAAAGCACAGAAAAAGCAAGGAGAAATTTGAGGGACGTATCCATAGTTGACAAAATTTGGGCTCGAGTGGTCTGGCTATGACGAATTATAGGAAACAGGCCTCGAAAAATAGCCAAAAAAGTCTGATTTTCATGCAGAATTGGGCTTATCTGGAGGATTTCTTATTTGGGAATAAATAAAATCGCTCTTTCCCAAATATAGTTAGCAAAATTTGTTTCAACTATAGACGTACCTCAACGATTCCATCCCGATTCGCTCCGAACTCTTGCGTCAGCAGTTCCTGGTGGTTGATGACTCTGCGCGACAGTGGATACTTCATGCCGTGTCTGTAAAATCAGTTATCGATTGATTGACTATTATCTCTGATTGATTCCTACTTGTGCGGGAACTTGGAGAGCAACTGAAAGAACTGGATCTCCGGATAAAGTCTGCGCACATCTTTGTCTATCTGCGAAAGCACCTTGTTATCCTGGAAGAACGCTCCCCAGTCGCTGGTCGGGTGATCGGACAGAGGCTGAAAAATGAAAAATCTTCTCCAGTTTTCTGTTCTTTAGAAATGGCCGGATCAAACTACGCCAAATATGACGTGCACCACTGCTTTTGTCGTCATTCTGTCTGAATGTGGTATGAAGGCTATGCATATACTTGTACTACTTTCCATTGGCTTGCCCTTAAAACGTACGTCACGAGTCCGAAAGTGAAAAAGGTTGCATGGACAATGAACGGCTTTTTTGCAAGTTGTCTGTGCTTTGTTTTTTTTTTTTGGACGTTCAGAAATGTTTTGGGGGATCAGAAACGGGAGGTGGAATGATCAAACGGTTTTTCTCAGACCTTCTCATGTTGTTCTTGTCTTCAGTTTTCCGATGATATTGTACTTCTAGCCAGCATCCAAATGTGGCTTTCGACAAAATTGAGTTCCAAGAAAAACATCTGCATATTTTTCGTTTCCAAGTTCTCATACGTGTCATCAACCTTATTAGTTTTGTCATCTCTCAAAAGTTGTTTGCATAAACATTCGTCTAACATTGGTCTTTGAAATCCTTCTAATTAGTCTTTTGTTATTCTGTCATTTTTTTACTCTTCTGATACCACGCATACAATTCGTTATTCTTCATTCTCTTTCGTGCTTCAAAATGTTCAAGAGGGACCGAAGTTGTTGCGAATTCACTAGGTTCCCACGTTTCTTCCACCCACGCACATAGTTGGCAGGGTCAAGGAACCGGGCCGGGGCGAGAAATAACTGGGCGACGCGGCTATGATGGCCTGGCTAAGGCGAAAAATTGATAAATTCTTTGATAAAATCCCAGCCGAAATTCGTCGTTTCCGCTCCGCTATGGACCCGGCCCGTTGCAACTGTGCCGACGTCCGTCTATCCACTTACGTGATCATTTTCTCCGCTGGCGCACTGTCCCATCGAAGCGGTTCCCGGCTCCACGATAATCTGCTCGATCATCTGATCGTAGTTGTTGCGTTGATCGGCGAGATGAGACTGCCATCGGTGGCGTTCCAGCGGCAGATAGTGAAGAAGAAGGCGCCAGACAAGCGGGCGAAGCAATTCCGGAACACCGTAACTGCATCCCGTTCTCAGCTCGTTGATATCAATTTTCTTGTTGGCTATCAGGAGGACTTCTTCGATTTTGGCCAACCGTTCCATGTAGCGAGATGACATCTGTAATAGAGAAAAGTTAGAAGAAACAACAGAAAAGTTGAACGTAAAAAGTAACCAAGCTAGCAGAAAGACTAGTAAAATCAACAACTCAATGTGTTCCAAAGTTATCAACCCTTTATAAATTGAATATTGACAAGAAAAAAGCAAAAAATCCCAGACTTAGAAGGTGTACTTGTAACCATTAGTTAAAACTTCAGAACAGAACAATAGTGTTCGAAAAAAAGGGCATGCATTTGAAAGATTGACTAAACTGGCGGTGTTCATCACATATTGGGGCGGTAAATGACTATTTTACGTCGCGAGAATTTCAACTAGAATAAGATGGATTTGAGTCACAGAACGAGAACATAATAATACAACTGACTGGATGGTTTCGTGGAATACGACGGTAGCAGAGAGATAGATAGGAAGAGAGAGAGAGAGAGAAAGAAAGGGAGAAAGGGAGAAAATGAGGGACGTAGACCGGAATAAATACAGATTGCAAAGTGAGAGAGACGCAGGACGGCATTTTAATCGGCGATAGGGGCGATTTCAGAAATGCATAAATATAAGAGATGTGATCGATAAATACGTATCAGGGAGGGGGAAACGTGTCGGCCGAGCTTGAGGGGGTCGGAGAGTACGGTGAAGAAAGAGAACCAGGGCACAAATATAGAGGAAAATGAATGGGAAAAGCAAATCGAATCAAGGCATCAAGTACGAGAGCTGCTTGCTGGAAAGTGTGAGTTGTCCGGTGCCTGTCACTTCGCAATCGACGCGCAGAAAGGTGTACTGAAAAAAGGGAACATCTGTTTAGGGTGTCGAGTTCGGTGGAGCGCATTTGCGGGATAACACTTTTGGGGGGAATTGAAAACATGGATTCGGCACAGGTCCCCGAGAATTGACTCTACCAAGGAAATGTGTATGGTATGAGAAATCTGGCAAAAAATGAGGGTACCCGAAGTTTCGCAACTCGTCATTTTGCAATCCGATAATTCGCAATTTTTTTTATAAATTTTGACCCGGCCCGGCTTGGTATGTTGCAAGTCTGCTCATGGCACTCCTAATGTGATAATTTCTCTTCACATTCCAGTAAAGCTAGTCGTTTCCCAGTCCAATTCTGCTTCGCTGAGCCTGACTGAGAAGAACAATAATTGCTCGCTTCGCGCCGTGCCAAGTTTGCTTCTTTTCTTTCTTTTTCATGTACTACTTTTAATCGCGTATTATTATTTATTTATGATCGCGTTTTCGGGAAGATTTCTTAATGTTTAGTGTCTTGTCCTATCGCATTTTAGAACTTTACCTATATGTTTGGCCGGTTGCTGACTTCCAGGCAAAAATTTGAAGCGCGTATATTTCAAGTTGATCTCGTAATTACCTGATCCAGAAGAGTTCCATTCATCGGCACACTCGGAAGAAGAAGCGAAAGCTTGGGAATCGAGTTGGCACCTTTTTTGAGAGACGGAAGAAGTACATAGTCCTGAGAATCCATGTGCATATTAGCAAGATAACTATAGGCCATCAAATATTCTCACCTGCAGTGTCATGATGTAAAGAGTGTCGCCCTTCTGACGAACGATTGATGCAAGCTTGTCAATGTTCTGACGCTTACGGTGAATTTTCTCACTGTCCACCTGTGCGGCGCCGCTCCCACTGTAGTAATGAACATATGGATTAGCAGTTGTGAAAACCGTCAAACATACGTTTTCAGAAGGTTCAGTTGGCGCCAGGTACGTTCTCTCGAACGAATCGCCGCTTGTTCCGATTTTTTCTGAGCCGATGCTGTTTGTGGCCCAAAAATTGACGCTTTTTGCACTTTCTGAGCCTCGTTAAACTTTCGCATCGCTTCTTGGTTCAGCAAACCGCCGGTGAACTTCATAGGAACGTTATCGAACGAGTGAACCTGAACCCAGCGCTCAATGTCGTTGTTCACGCTGAAAAAAGTGCGTTTTGTGACTGAAAATGCCGGAGGGTTTTCCGTACCGTTCAGTTTCCGTAGCATTCAACTTGTACATTTCGCAATCCGGGTGGCTTGAGTTTGAAAAGTGAATAATCGGCTCTGGTGGCTGAAAAACGCGGTTTTCCGTTGATGTCAGTCATAATGTCCTCAGTACCTTTGTGATGATTGCCGTGATTCCTTCATTTCCAAGTACTCGGCTATGACGCGTGACAACAGAGGTCTCGTTGGCAATTGCCATGATTTCAGTAGGCACTCCCATGTTGTTGTCAGTAGTTCTAAATATTTCGCAGTTTTTGCAAGCAGCCTAGTGATTAGTTCCACTCACAATACATTGAATGGGGAGACAATGGCGAAAAGTCCAAACATCATGAGTACAGTACCCGCTGCAATCATTTTCTTCTGCTTTTGTGCGTTTCCCTGTGGAGGAAGGGGACGGATTCCAACTCCAAGAGCCGATTCTCCCTGAAATGTTGAGAAAATGTATTAAAAATAGACAGATAAACTGCGATACCTCATAAAAAGCGAGGCGTCGCTTCAGAATAGCATTCTCGCTGACAAGCATCTCGTTCTTATGACTAAGTTCATCGACACGCATCCTCAGACTTTCCTCTGCTTCCTTCTTCCGGATCCTAGACGCTTGTGCGTACATGCGGTTCCGAATTTTGCGGTTTTGTTCCGGAGTGAAGTGCTGGAACACAAGAACATATTCGTTTAGCAGATTCTCAAAGCGACGTACCTGTATTTCATGCTTAATATCCCTGGTTGGAGCAATCGGAACAAAACGTGGCTGGTCGCATTCTTTTTTGAAAGTCTGACGAATCAGTGGTCCGCTTTGTGGTTGTGGCCGCATTTCGACCGGTTTTGTGTAGAAGATAGCCTTCTGTTGAAGTGGTCTTTGCACCATACGCTGCTGATTCTGAAACTGAGAAAAACATTAAGTTTGAGCACATTTTCAAGATATTTCTCACCACTGGCTGCGCAATTTTGCAGGTCTGAGCGCTGTGATTGGCAGGTATCTCCTTGACACGATAGATCTTCTGAATCGGACGCGTCACCATTTTCCTCACTGGATTCTGCATCTGATTTTGCTGCCTTGGTAGAATAGCGATTATCCGTTTTGGAGGTGCGACCATTGGATCTTCGATGAGTTCCTCATGCTCAACGTACTGTTGATGTATGAAGTCGTCATTAGTCCTGCAGATTACTTCTTCTTCCTGATATCCCGACGGCTTGTTGTATTGCGGTTCAAATGGACTTGGATTCTGCAACTAATGTTTCTTTGAAAAGGCCAATTGCGAAATGACTCACCTGAAATCCGAACTCCCACATTTCCTGCATTTCCTGATCGTTTTCCGTGAAATTGGCACAACTGAGCGGCGGCGAGCTGTCGGACGACGAATCTCCCAGACTCCCGCCGTCTCTGGATCTGAATCCGGCGTTTTGGTCACCAAATGCGAATGATGAAGATGAACTCGAGTCCTGAGACTCGTCATTCCCGTACAGCAGACTCTGAACTCAAATATTGATTTTTGTAGGAAAACCACCACTCACATCCAACTCCAACTGATCGAAATGAGGCGAAAACCCGTCGTTGAGAAGCATTTCATCGAAATTGACTCCGGATTCGTTAAAATCCATCTGTAAAATTAAGTTTTTGAGAAGCAAATCACATTTTATGACGATAAACGAGAGAAAAAGGTGTTCGTGACCTAAAAACAGGTAGGCTTTGATAAGACCAATGAAAAGTAATGATGTTTAGCCGAGAAAAGAAGAAAACCGAGTAAAGTGACCGTGAAAAAGGAGGGCAACCAACCCGATTTAGGGATAGCATCCTCTCCGTTCTCAACAGAGCGCACTTGCAGACCCCGACCCTCCTGGCACACTGCCAACAAAACCGGGGGTGGCTGACCGATCGGCCGGCCGACCGCCGCCACGCGGGGGAAAGAGAGGCACAGTGTCCCGGAGCGAGAGGAAGAAGAAGACACACGCGACGCGTCTTCCTCACCCCTCGCCGCTCTGTTTGTTCGCTCCGCTCGTTCGGTGCGTCACCGCATCTGGTTTTGGGATTACTTACGGAAAAAAGGAAGGAAAATGAGGTCGATGAACGTCGCAACTTGTTGCAGGATCTGAATGGAGTAATGCAAAAAACAACGGAATGTTCAGGTTCAACGTGTTCAGGTTCAGCGGAATGTTCAGGTTCAGTGTGTTCAGTGTATTCAGTGTGAAGAACGGTAAACGCTAAAACGAAATAAAAAGTGAGAATGCGGTTCTGATTCTCAAAAAAATCATTGTTGAAAGGCTTTTCGATTGGTGTTTGAGCAGAAGTGTGAATGTCAGAAACGACGATGATGATGCGTTAGATCGTTTTTGGCGCCAGATGTTGGTTGAATGGGCTTTGTTGAAAAAGCGTCCAATACAAAAGTTATGAATCTATGTATATTTTTTGATGCTTCACATGTTGGACTGCGAGCAGGGTTAGGCAAAAGGCCGTGGCCTGTACTTTTGACTCACTTGCAATGTTCCGACTGGACCCAAACTTTGCAGGCTTCTGGAACTTTGATTGAAGTATTTTAAGTCTAAGTTTCAGATATAGGGATTAGAGGCAGAAAAACCCACAATTGTTTGAAACGTTCGCCCAAAATACATCAATCCAAGTCTCAGCAAAGTTTGGGTGGCAAAAGAAGGGAACAGAAGTCGACTACTGCGAAGCCATTCATTTGAATACATGACGAATGTGCACTTTCCGGGGTCCGAACGACTATGAAAGCACTTTGAGAGGAAGAGAGAGAGAAAGAGAGAGTGAGAGCTGACGCTAAGTGGGTTACTATGACATTGAATTATGCGAAGAGATGCACACACACTTTGAGCGACAGATTCCAAAAATGAACAAGCAGGAGATGGATGGAAAGCAAAAAAAGAAGAGGAAAGAGCACAAAGTGATATGTTTTCAAAGGACTTGTGACCCTCGCGGTGTGCACACAACCAGTACACTCCCGATACGCACTTGTTATCTTTCTCGGGACTAAAGAGTAACACTTTTGCCTCTCTTTCATCAATACGTTATAGTAGATGCATTCATAATAGACATGACTGTACAAATATTATTAGTGCAGACCCGGGGTGCGAATGAAAACGGAAATTAAATTGCAAGGTCTGAGAGAGCCCTGAACAAGGCTCGGAAGGTTGTCCTGAAAAGGATTATCTTATCTGTTAAGATCTGAAAGAGCCCTGAAAAAGGCTCGGAAGGTTGTCCTGAAAAGGATTAATTTATCTGTTAAGATCTGAAAGAGCCCTGAAAAAAGCTCGGAAGGTTGTCCTGAAAAGGATTATCTTATCTGGTAAGATCTGAGAGAGCCCTGAAAAAGGCTCGGAAGGTTTTCTTGAAAAGGATTATCTTAGGAGACCGTCTGGTATGGTCTATAAACTCCACATGGAAGTGAATACATTTTTCGACTCTTGGTATAAGTTGTACACTTCAGTCAACTTTTTCAAAGGTAGAAAGATATTCCCTCCACATTTTTTCTGGATTTCACGCGGATGCTGTTGCTGCCAAGTGTAAGTTTTTTCTTTGTTTAATTCTAAAATGATATGTACTAAGGGGGGCTGAGTGAACGAATAAGAGGCCTCAATTGCCAAGATAACACCTGCATATTTAAAAAAACGACAGAAAGAACAATATTATTTATAAATTGTGTCGAAAAAAGCAAAAGCTTACAACATCCAGGATTCCCAGGCCGTCTCCGATCCAAGTACTAACTGGACTCAACGTTGCTTAACTTGCCAGATCGGACGGGATGGCGTGTATTCAACGTGATATGGTCGTAAGCGAAATCATCGTCACTCTATGTCGATGACATTTTTGCGAACAATGACGACGTCGTAAGCGAAATACCCCCTGTGCCTCGTTCTCGCCGTCCCTCGGACGTGTCTGCTGCGCGCACTGTTGAAGAGCAGCGACGCAGCGTTAGGGTCGGTTTAATTACCCAAGTTTGAGGTGCGAACCTGGGAATGACCTAAAGAAATTTAGCGTCAGCTTTCTAATTTTGGAATGTCTCCTTCTATGGGAGACAAAGTAACGAAAAGTAGAAAAATCGGATGTGATTTGATGGAGTTATGCCAATGATTTGGGATCTGGGATTTTACGTTTACGGTGGTTTTTTACTTTTTTGTGAAAAAGTGATTTTTCTGGAATCTAGACACCAAAACGTTCAAAAAACGATAGGGACTATAGAAAAGTTAGAATTATATTGAATTGTATGTTAGTTTTCATTTCCTGACAAAAACAGTACGCTTCATGGATTTTACAGATCTTACGGAATTTACTGATTTTACGTTTTCTTGAAACTGTAAATTTGCGTTTTTACGGATCCGTAAAAATAAAATGTTGCGCCCCGCCCTGACAGTGATTCAAAACAATTGGCCACGCCCACAAGGTCGGAATTGCCCTGGCGGAAAAATTTTCAATGCAAATGTGCAAATGTATCCGAGTTGTAAGGTATTTCCGTTTTCTTTGAAACAGGAATGGGGAAAATGCCGCCATGGAAATGACGCCTAAAATGCCGAGTTTTTAAGAAAGTTGCATGTTTTAGCGGTCTCTGATAGACATATATAAAATTTTTGTCTCTCCATTTGTTACTTACAGTTTTTCGAAACCCTTTACATCCTCTCCTCTATGTATTCACATTTCGTCAGCAAAATCTTGAAGGAACAGGTGATTCTGAAAGTCGCTGGTCTGACAGCATCACAACTTGCTTGCTCCGCGCTTATTCTTACATCTACTCGCCCAATATCGCCACTTTTTTCTCATTTTCAAACAATGTCGGCTGAAAACAGAACGGATTATTCAGTTTTTGCTGATAAAAACTCGGAAGAGTCGAAAGCGGTTGCTCTTATTCTAACAACGGTTTTCGTGGGGTTTGTGCCGTACGTTCTTGTTCTGGTCCTTTGTGTCATGTCGCGAAAGACCGATAACAAAGTGAGTTTCATCTATTTTAACCAGATGCTTCGTTGCCTTCACTTTTAGCTGCCACAAAGTGCAATCATATGTAATCTGGTGGTTTTGAGTTCGACTTGTGTGTTCGGGTCATTAGTACTCACCGTGTTTACCCTATTCATCCAGTCTTCACAAAACTTCTTTGCTGATACTTTTGCTGAGAACATTTGCTTCTGCTTATACAAATGTAGGTCTATCACGTTTCTAAATAGCTAAATAGGTGAAAAGTCAAAACTTCAGTTTTCATTTTTCTTTTACTCAATGGTCCCACAATAGTAACCACAATCTACTATTATTTTATTTTCCTCGCCGCCGTACAACGCATTATTCTTATTTCTAGAGCCAAGTTAGGATTCCGACTACTAACTGGGTAAATTTTAGAAATAGCTGGCTCAGTTGAAAAATGGAATTGCAGACGTCGTCTGAGAATGAAAATACTCATATTATACATTTTGTCGATCACATCTGCCATCAATCGAATTGTCGATCCGAACAGAACTCCATGGATGGAAATCATGATTATACTCGTCACAAAAATTATATTCCTGCTCAGCATTTTTATGGTTCAACATATTGAACGTCGAATAATAGCAACGACGCATATCACCGTTCTGACACAGTTTGTACCTCTCGCCTTGCTTTTGTCGGTGAGTAAAAACCTTTCCGGAAACATTATGCTCTTTGTTCCACAGTCAAAACTCATGAATTTTGAATTTGCGTGTGCTGTAAGAGCAGGTGAAAAGTGTTTTTTACTCTTTATCCCCGAGATTCTGAGAGTTATTCTGAAATTCGGGAGAAGTCTGCAAAGCACGAAAAACAGCTGACATTTTCAGTCCTTCACAGTCGGAGACTTCTACGTAATGTCGAGTGATCCACCGTGCATGTCCATTCGTTCTTACCGAATTCTCACTGCTTTCACAATGTCGTTCCTCACTCCGTTCTTTCTAATTGTTGGAAGTTGGGCAAAGCGTCGAATCGTCTATTCCATTATCACTTGCCAATGGGAAGAACGTGTCGGACGCGGAGAAACGTATGCTGCGACACGTTCCCCGGTCGATACTTTGAATGCTGTGAGCATGACACTGACGTCAAGGTTTTAAAACTGATAATTTTACATGAAGTTTATTGTGAATGTTTTAATTGGGAATGTGAAAAAGGAAGAGGTCCAGCTCTTAAGAAAAACATCTAAAAGAAGTAAGTAACTGTGTAACTAGAAGAGAAGTAACCAGTTACTCATTCTGATTCAGTCGTTGCGGGGGGGATTGTGCTGAAAGAAAAGTGCTGAAAGATAAACACATATCACTTTTTCTTCAAAATCTATTTTGAACGAGAGCTAAACAGAAGATCGGCCAGGATATTTGGAGGACTGCCAAGGCCTTGGATTTTGACCCACATGCAACAATCCGCTCAAACAGAGTTTTGCAGGTTTCTTAGATTTGGATGTAAGTATCATGGGCCAAATTTTGATCCGATCGGATTGTTTACTGTAGAGATACGTGTATCAAGAACCGAAAAGATCGCAAGTTTTGGAAAACCCCCGCCTTTTCAGCATCACATTCACATATCCCAAAAGTACATAAACTGTCCGATCTGTCTGAAACTTGATACTAAACTATTTCAATTCAAGTCAAAGAAGCCTGCAAAGTTTAGGTCCGATCTAATTATTACAAGTGGGCCCGGGCCTCGGCAGGCTTTTTATCCAGCCCGGATTCAAACTAACTTGCTTGCTTCACCCTGCGGTTTCTCAAAAACGTTTCTATTGAGAACGTTCTGCGAGAGTGCGTTTCTATAGACCACTTTTTGGAGGCCGTCTTCGAACACTAAAACATCAGCTACCGTAGGGACCAAAACGATCAACTTACAGACGGTGTACTTGCTCCAGTCCTTTACACACCGGATCACACATGGAACCTCTTTGTCGTCGAGCAGTTTGAGCGACGCTTTCTGGAAGATGTTCAGGCTGACACTTTAAACTTCACATAACTTCGTGGTTTGAACTCACATCACCCGGAGCAGCAAAAACGAACTTCAAATTCGAAATCTCGGTCATTCTCTCTTCCGGTTCACCGTCGACCAGAACGTTGACCATAACACGGCGCTGCACATGGACGATTTTGGCAGCATAGTAGCACGCGCGATACTTTGCTCCGAGTTCGTCTCCCACTTGCAAACACGGAGGGTAGTCAGATTTTACCATGATGTAAGATGGCAAATGAAAAGGCAGAAGTGAATCGGAATCGAATGAGTTCTTATCTTCCGAATGAAAGCGGTGGCGTCTGAATGGTTTTACAATGATAAATCATGAGCGTCGAATTCCTTTGTTAGTAGTTTCTTTGATAAGGTTATAGCCGCCGACGAAGAATCCAAGATCGATCAGGAGTACTTTCTTTGTTTGTGTCTTTGTTTGATTATTTCAATCATTATAGATAAAAATAGCGTTTTTAATGGTTTATTCTAAGTGATCAATATGCGTGTGTTTGAAGCGAAACCGCTTTATATACAATGATGTTCTTCTCAATTCAGACAACCAAAGTTTATTGATGAAACGATTGAGAAGCGTCGATCAGTTGATAAACTGACCGACAAATGTCCACTATCCTACAATCCGATGTGTAAAATATTAAACGAAGTGAAATGGTGTGAATGAAGATTTAACGGAAGACAAAAAAAAACAAAAGAGAAGATGAGGGTGTTATGGGTTTACGGTGATCGACACGTTGAATGTGTATTACTGTGCAGAATTGAGTGGGATGGGGACGTGAGGGGGCAGAAATTGAAAGAAAAAAGAGAGGGCGAAGGAAAAGAAGCATTGGATCTACTTCTGCTCGGCACTGGCGCGTGTTCGGCTTCGGATTCTGACAAGGCACTGCTCGGCGGAATCAGCTCTTTCCTCGGCGGTCTCCAGGGACAGTTGGACGGTTCTGTACTTGCTCAGGTGGTTGTTGGCCTGCTCCTCCTGAAGATTACAAGATATTGACTGATTTCGAGGAATATAACTTACAGCTTCATCGAGTTGTTTCTTCTGGAGCTTGAGCTTGGCGGTCAGCTTCTCAACCAACTCCTGGAGTTTGTCGTAGTTCTTCTTATCCTCGGAAACCTGGAACTCGAACTCGCGGACCTTACGATCAGCACGAGCGAGGGTCTTGCTGGCCTCTCCGGCGCGGCGGGTCTCGGTCTCCAAGTCGGACTGGAGAGCCTTCAGACGCTGCTCGGCCTTCTGGATCGCCTTGGCTCCTCCCTTCATGACTGCAGCCTCAGCGGCGTCGGCGCGCTCTTGAAGATCCTGCAAAAGATTTGTAGGATATATGATTTTTGTTCATATTTGCTCTATCTCTCATTTTGTGGAGACGACGCGCAAAAGATAAGTGGCAAACTCTGCGCGGACTAAAACAATCACGCTATGCTGGTTGGTTTTTATGCGTCAAAAAGGTGGCTGCAGACAAACCTTGACACCGCTCTCGAGTTGCTTCTTGAATCTCTCAAGCTGTTGGGATTGCTCTTGCTCGTGGCGGAGGTCCTCAGCGAGCTTGGCGGCGTCACTGGCGGCACGGCGACCACGGTCTTCGGAAGCGGAAAGCTCGGTGTGGGCTTCGGCAATATCGCTCTTAAGGAGAGCAATTTCGTTGTCGAGCTGGCTCTTGGCGGCGGCGAGGGCAACGTTCTGCGAGTTGAGCTCGTTGTTGTGCTCCTGGTGCTCCTTCACCGAGCTCTCGACGACACGGCGAGCGCGCTCAATCTGAAAGAATCACTTTTGAAACAGAGAATTGGGAGTTGGAACTGACAGCCTCAAGCTTGACGATGAGCTCCTCCTGCTCTTGCTTGGCAACCGCAAGTTTTCTCTCGGCAGCCAACAAATGCTCACGGAATTCCTCACGGCGCTTCTGTTCCTCATCCACGGTTTGTTGAAGTTCGCGGATCTGGTCCAAGTAACGTCTGAAAACGGAACAAATAGGGTGAAGGAAATAAAATTTTCGGCATACCTAATGTTCTTCTGCGCATCTTCGTTCGCTTTGTTCGCATGGTCGAGGGCGATCTCCAGCTCGTTGATGTCGGCCTCCAACTTCTTCTTGACACGGAACAGCTCCGACTTGGCTTTGGTCTCAGAGTCCAAAGTAGCCTGGATGCTGTCGATGGTCTGTTGGTGGACCTTGCGGTGGTTCTCAAACTCCTCCTCCTTTTCGGCGATTCTCTTCTCGATCTCGGCACGGATCTGCGAAACCTCGATCTGGCAGCGAAGAGCCTTGCTCTCCTCGGACTCGAGGGCAGCCTCAGCCTCGTCCAATCCACGCTGGAGCTCCTCCTTCTCCATCTCAAGACGGCGAAGGTTCTTGGAAAGAGCGTGGGTGGCACGTCCTCCCTCGGAAAGTTGCTCGGTGAGGTCGCGGGCCTCGTCGCTGAGAGCCTTGTTCTCACGACGGAGTCCTTCGACTTGATCGGCCAGGGTATCGTGCTGTCCACGGAGCTTGTGGGCTTCTCCGGAAAGCTGGCGAGCATCGCGTTGAGCTCCGTCCAACTCGAGGTAGAGGTCGTCGACCTTCTTCTTCCACTCATCGATGACCTTGTCGAAGGCCTTCTGCTTCTTCTCCAGGGAGGAGACGGCCTGAGCGTGGTGCTCAGCCTCGAGGCGGTTGGCGTCGGCTTCAGCGGTCAAGCTAAAATGAGAATAATGAACGATTAAAATGCTTCATTAGATACTTACCGGCTGCGAGCATTCTCAAGAGCAACAATCTTGGCGTTGCAGGCATCAAGAGCATCTTGGATCTCGGAAGTCTTCTGGTTTTGACGCTTCTTGACTTCATCGAACTCGTCGGCTCCAATGAGTCCCTCGGTCTCAAACTTGGTTCTCCATTGATCGAGCTCGACGGAAGCCTTGGAGAGCTGACGGGCAGCCTCGTTCTTTCCAGCGACCTCGTCCTCGATCGACTCCTTGAGCTGTTCAAGCTCGCGGGCCAAGTTCTTGGACAGGTTGGACAGATTCTGGCGCTCGCGCGACTCCTCCTCGGCTTGTCTCTTGGCGTAGTCCAATTCGTTGGAGAACTGGAGCTTGAGGCGGTTGGCGGCCTGGATCTTGGCCTCCAACTCTTCAACCTGGCGAGCCAAGTCAGAGTTCTCCGAATTGAGACGTCCCTTGGAGGAGACAAAGTCTTGGAGCTGGCGAGATTGTTCGTCAGCCTTGAGACGGAGCTCGAGGAGTCTGACCTCGTGTCCCTTGGCGATTCTCTCGTTGTCAGCACGGAGCTTGGCCTCCTGGTCAAGAGCGGCGGAGGACTCATCGAACTCGCGTTGCATGTGTCCCTTCTCCTTCTCAAGTCTTAACTTCTGTTTCTGCAGTTGTTCGACCTGGTCGGAAAGCTCCTGAATAGCATCGGATCCCTTCTTCTTAAGAACAGTAAGCTGCTCTCCGAACTTGAGCCCGGCCTCCTCTAAGTCACGGCGAAGCTTGGAAAGCTCGGCGTCCTTCTTCTTTCCGAGCTCAACTTGAGCGGCGGTGGCACGACCCTGGTCCTCGAGTTGCTCGGTGAGCTCGTCGTACTCGGCTTGTTGCTCGGCTCTGGAGCGGTCGGCGCGTTGGCGAGCGTCCTTTTCGTCGGCTAGTTGGTCGTAGAGATCCTTGACTCTGGCCTCATCCTGCTGGATTCCCTTCTGGAGCTTGGCAACAGCGGCTTGCTCGTCCTCGAGCTTCATTCCCAAGTTGTGCAACTCGGTCTCCTTGCGTCTCAAGGCGTTCTCAGCGTCGCTCTTCGACTTGTTGAGCTCGTCCAAGGTCTCCTGAGCGATCTTGAGCTCTCCCTCCGCCTTTCTCTTGTTCTTGTCCATATCAGCGCGGTTTCTCTTCTCACGCTCCATGGTCTGCTCGGAGTCCTCAAGAGATTGCATGAGCTTGGCCTTCAGTTTGTTGGCAGCCAAGTTCTGCTCCTCAGCAGCTTGAAGATCCTCGGTGAGCTTCTTGTTCTGCTCATCCTGGTTCTTTCTCTCCTTGTTGAGCTTGGAGATGTTCTCATCCTGCTGTCTCATCTCATCCTGGAGAGCACGGATCTGGTGCTCCTTGGCGTTCTTCTCGGCCTCGACCTTTCTGAGCGAGAGGTCAACGTCTTGGCAGCTTTTCTTGAGCTCGGCGCACTCGGCCTCAACAAGTTTCTTCTGCTTGCTGATCTCGGCAGCGCGGGCCTCTTCGGTTTCGAGCTTCTTGTTGGTGTCGGCGAGCTTGCCCTCGAGAGCAGTCTTCTGTTCGTTCATGGCAGCCATACGCTCCTCAACTTCACGGGTACTTCCCTTGCTAGCCTCCAATTGCGCCAAGAGGTCAGCCGTCTCCTTGTTGAGACGTTCAGCGCCCTCTTGGAGTTGGCGTTTCTTCTCCTCCTCCTGTATCACCGTGTCCTTGAGGGTGGCGACGGTCTCTTGAAGCTTCTCGTATTGAGCCTCAATCTTTCCAGAGTTGACAAGTGGCTTGACCTTTCCGTAAAGCTTGAACCACACCCAGGTGCGGAGTTCAGCCCAGCTGCGGATGTTTCTTTGGATGATCTTGAGTGCGTTGATCTTCTCCACACGGCGCTTGCGCTCGATCTGAAATTAACACATTAGCAATGATAAATGTTCAATTTGTTTAGCAACTAACCACTTGGTAGTACCATCTGATCTGAGCCTGGAGTCCAGTAATGAGCAGAGCCAGCTTGGAATCACGCAAGTCTTCCAAGTGAGCGACGATTCCGGCCTTGAAGAAGACCTTGGTGAGACCAACACGGAAGTGGTCCTCTTCAAGCTTCTTCTCTTTGACCAAGCGGGCGAGCATAGCAGCGGATCCCTTCTTGGCATCGGTCTTTCCAATAAGAGACTCATCGGCAGCGAGGATGGCGTAACGCTGGACAAAGTCTGGATGCTGAGTTCTGTTCGGGAATCCCTTGCGGCAAATTCTGATTCCTTCCAACACTCCATTGCAGGTGAGCTGGTTGAGGACAAGCGCGGCGTCGATGACTCCGGAAGCCTTCTTCTCGTTGGGAATGATACAACGGATGAAGTGAGGGTGGGTGGAATTGAGCATAGTCATCAGGTTGTTGAGGGACTCTCTGTAGAGCATAGAAACAGTCATGAACGATCCCGACTTTCCCTTCTTCTTTCCACCACCAGTGGTCTTGGTGGCGACGGCGGCCTCCTCTTGAGTGGTGTAATCTTGCCAGACCTCCACGATGAGAGCGTTGATCTTCGAGGCCTTCATGACAGTGACAACAGTGTCGTTGAGGGGGTCCTTGTTCTTCTCGAGCCAGTTCATCACGTTGTAACGGACAGTTCCGGCGTAGTGACGCATGGCGAAGTGAGCCTCGGCCTGTTTTCCCTTTGGCGGCTTTGGCTTCTCGAAGTTCGGGTGCTTGCCCAAGTGCTGGTCGATGAGCTTCTGGGACAGGGTCAAGTCAGTGGCCTTTGGCACGATGCACTCCTCATCAAGCATGGCAATGATACCAAGTGGCTTCTCAATGAGCTCGATACAGGCTTGCAAGTCAAGTCCGAAATCGATGAAGACCCATTGGATACCCTCACGAGCGTACTCTTCCTGCTCCAGGACGAACATGTGATGGTTGAAGAACTGCTGGAGTTTCTCATTGACGAAGTTAATCCAGAGCTGCTCGAACGAGTTGAAATCGAAGATTTCGAATCCGGCGATATCGAGCACACCGATGAAGTGATCACGGGAGATTCCCTTCTGGTCAAGAGTCTGGTTGCACTTCTTGACGAGCCAGTTGAAGATTCTCGAGTAGAGACCCTTGGCCATGGCTCCTACGGCCCAGTTGACCTGCTCCATGTTCTGTCCCTTGTTGACCCATTCATTTCCGACCTTGACACGTGGGCGAGTCAAAGCCTTCAAGAACTCTTCGGGGTCAATTCCGAAGCACTTGGCGGCTCTCTCGGCATCTGAAATAACATTATTGGCTCTCGGTATTTGTGGATAAATTCCTTTTTTTTCAATCTCTCAAAATCAGTGTCATAGGCAAAAAAGTGAAGAGCCGATGGAAGAGTAGGTAAACTTTAAACCGCGCCGCTAAATCCACTCTACGCACATCCTACGCTCTCATGAGATCTTGAGCAAACAGAGAAAAAGTTTCTAAGAATCCAAGAATCTGCTCTTAGCGCTTACCATCGGTGCCATCTGGCTCGGCCTGCTCTTCACGTGGGCGTTGCTTGAACTTCATGTTACCCATGTGCATCATGGCGGCAACAAGTTTGTAGCACTCCATTTTCTCAACTGCCGTGAACTTGAGGATGTCAAAGGCCTCATCGGTCAACTGATGCTCTTCCTTCAAGATTACAAGAATAGACACAGACTGGGCAAACGAAATAGGATACCTTGTCATTGATTCCGTCGATGACCAACTCAGCTTGAGCAATGAACCAGTAATCCTTGACTGGTTTGTGGAGAAGGAGGTCCTTCCTAAGGTTTGGCAAGAAGTCGGAGAAGACCTGGTAGAAGATGTGGTAGCAACGCTCTCCTGGAGCCTGACGGATCACACGAGACTTCTCAAGAAGATCTGGAATGAAAAAAATTAGGATGCAATTCAGGTGACAGGGGGATCTTACAATGCTCAATATCGCAAGAAGCGACACGTCCCTGCTTGGAGAAGTGAATACGGATGAACTTTCCGAAACGGGAGGAGTTGTTGTTACGGACGGTCTTGGCGTTACCGAAAGCCTCGAGCACGGGGTTGGTCTGAACGATCTGGTCCTCGAGGGTGACCTTCTTCTTGTCAGAGGCCTCCTCGTTCTTCTTTCCGAACGTTTCCTGCTGGGCAGCTCCGACGGCGGCAAAGTACGAGATAACCTTCTTGGTGTTCTCGGTCTTTCCGGCTCCGGATTCTCCGGTAATGAGCATAGACTGGTTCTCATGGTTTTGAAGCATGTTTCTGTAGGCCTCGTCAGAGACGGCAAACAGATGTGGTGGCATTTCGGTACGGCGCTTGCCCATAAACATGCGGGCGACCGAGTCAGTGTAGATCGGAAGGCGCTTGTAAGGATTGATCACGACACAGAAAAGACCCGAATAAGTCTAGAAGGAAGATGAAAGTGAGAAACAAGAATGGTTGATATGAAATCTTACGTAGATGAGCATTGCAGCATAACGAGCTCTCAAGTTGTACAAAACGGAGGCGTCGTTGAGGAAAGTCAAGTTAGACATGTCTTCGGTTTTCTCGAATTTTGGTGGGTTCATCTCTTGGATGACATCCTTTTTAACAGTCTTCTACAATAAACAACATAAGTGAAATAGAGGAGAAGAGGGACAAGTAAATTACCTCATTTCCTGGGCCAACGGCAACAGTCACATTATCTCCAGCGGTTTTGGTGATGACACCCTCGATGTATCCATCTTCCGCATCCGGAATCCAAACGTTCTTCTTGGAATCGTATGGACGGGATTGGTCCTAGAATAGAGAAAATAATGATAAAGAGGGAAGAAAATTATAAAAAGTACCTCGAGCATCTGCTCGCGGGAGCGGCGAAGGTACTTCCATCCTGGGTCGTTTTCGTAATCCATTGATGTGTCTGGCGATCGAGGGTAAAAATGAGAAGAGGTGGAGAGAAGTCAACCGCTCGGTGGGATGCGCGAGCCTGGAGATAACTTTGATTTACGACGAGCCCTTCCTTTGCCTCCTCCTAGGTGGGTGGGAGGATGATCAGGGCGGAGACATCCAATTGTAATTCTAGGTAGAAAGAAAGTGTCTGGCCCGTACTCTATCCCCCCTACAATCGACTCAACGAAAGTCTCTTTCTCAAGTGCAAATAGCAAAAATCTTCTCTGTGCACAGGGCGCCCCCACGGATGGTCGGAGGATAGTGCGCGGCGGCGGAGAGAGCCCCTTAGGCCAAGACGATATTGGGATAGAAGGAGGAAGCGAGGGCGAAACGGCAATTTGGGGGGATGTCTGAAGGCAGCTAGAGAGCCCGCCAAGTGCGGAGAATCACACATCCGACGGCAAACATCCGATGCGGGGCCTCCATCCAGAACAATGAGTACAGTGCGCGCGCAAAGTGCTCTCCCTGCCATTTTGCTACTCTTATCCACACAACCACTTTAGCGATTACCAACCTATCTTGAGACTTATCTTTATCTTTTTCCGCCGGCGAAAAAAAGACAAAAATGAGAGAAGGAGACAAAGAGCAGAAAAAGCAAAAATCGGGGCTTACCGATCGCGATTTTTCCAGCTAATCCGATCCACTCACATTCTTCCACTGGTGAAGTGTTCGGGTGTAAAGTTCAAGAAAGTGAAGAGGACAGATAGACCTCCCGTACTGCAAACGAATATCTGGAAATAATGATCAATTGGGTTTCCATGCGAGCGGGCAAAAAACACACCCTAATGATCAAATGATGTAGATTGAAATGCGGTCAAAGTACGAAGCATAATGTACAATGCCCTCACACGCACGTCAGACAACGTCTCGATTGTCAGAACGAGCGAGTCACCCCCATTGAAGGGAATGTTCTAGTTTCTGATTGATAAGATGTTCTCTGCACACTCCGGGTCAACACACACTATTTTGCCACCTTCCACATGATAACAGAGCCCGTATACAAGTTGCTCAATTTCATTCGCACAGTGTACACAACACCTTCTTTCTTTGACCGAATTGCAACGTATTCAAAGTATTATTGATCCATTTGATACTCCTCCCACTCAAAAATGAGTTCTGAGCGAGCACCACTACTTGAGAATGGGTTAGTTTCGTGTTGTGTGTTTGTCTCTCTCTCTCTCTTTCCCTTCCCTGTTTTTCCGGCGTGTGACGTACGGACGTACGTACTTTAGCTTGATTTCTCAGAATTTACACTTTTAGATTAACAACAATCTATAACACTGATGAAGGCAGGAAGACGACAGTAACCTATGATAACTTCCATTGTCATGACGAAGCGGATTCAACAGATTCTTCCAGTGATAGCAATAAAAGAGGTTTGAGAGAATGACATCGGAAACGAGAAAATGTATGTTTCAGCAACACGGATTTTATGGCTCACTGTGATACTATGCCTCTTTTTTATGGTTTGCGAAGTTATCGGCGGTGTTCTTGCGGGCTCACTTGCAATTGTCACGGATGCCGCACATTTGCTCACCGATTTCGCTTCGGTGCTTATCTCTCTGTTCTCGTTGTACATTGCCAGAAGGCCACCATCTCAAACAATGAGCTTCGGGTTTCACAGAGCTGGTAAACTGCCTATCGCAAACGTTCAAATGGGTGACTCTTGACTTCCAGAGGTTTTGGGAGCATTCTTCTCGGTATTCCTCATTTGGATTGTCACCGGAGTGCTTGTTGTGTTAGCCATTATGCGAATAATAAGTGGAGACTATGAAGTGGAGGGAGGAATCATGGCAATAACTGCTGGTCTCGGTGTTATTGTGAATCTTGTGTTGGTTCAACAAGATGATTTTTGCGACAACAAATATTTTATTTCAGAATGCTTGCTCTGCTGTACTTCGGTGGTCATTCTCATTCGCATGGCGGAGGGAGCTCCCACTCTCATGGTCACTCTCATGCCGGAGGAAACGGCGACAATATCAATGTGAGAGCAGCGTTCATCCACGTGCTCGGAGATCTTCTTCAAAGTTTAGGCGTTCTTGTAGCCGCCCTTCTCATTTACTTCCAGGTACATATGTTCCTTTATTCTCTATTTCTTATCATTTCTGGTTTTCAGCCGGCATGGGTGATTATTGATCCGATTTGCACGCTGCTCTTCTCGGTGATTGTTTTGTGTACGACTATCTACATTCTACGCGATGCTATGATTGTGCTTCTTGAAGGTCAGTTTTTCTTCAATTACGTCATGCCTGAGTGAAAACAAAACAAAAATTTGCAGGTAGACCGAGCACAATAGACTTTTCCAAAGTATTTACCTCACTCGAAGACATCGAAGGTGTCCGAAAAGTGCATGACTTGAGAATATGGAGTTTGACAATGGATAAGGTACTAGTTCCGAAATTGAAAAAGGATTATGCGCGTCTTATGTGTAATTGTTTTCCAGATCGCGCTCTCCGTCCATCTGGAGATTGACTCCGAAACCCAATCCCAAAGCATTTTGCGAGAAACACGTAAGATGCTGAAGCAAACGTATAATGTTCACGAGATCACAATTCAAATCGAGGAGTTTGGAGCGAATCGAACAGATTGTGACAAGTGTGATGTTCCGTCAAAGTGAAGAGATGTTCGACTAGTTGTGTAAATAGACTATGAGATCAGACCAGCCCACATGTGAAAATGAAACAGCCTACTATCTTTCTTTTTTTTTTGCTAAAAATTGTTTGAGAAGGAGAAATAAAGAATACATTTATACAGTTTTCTCGACAAGCTTCTTTTCCTCATAGTAACCACAACAACCATCAGCGTCCAGATCTCGTTCATACTTTTCACAAAGTTTGTGGAACATGTCGTTGAAGTCCCTCTCAACTCGTTCCAAATGTTTATTGGTCTGCTTTCTGCTGAACCGATGCGTGAACTCTCCCTCGGCAACCAAAGTGATCTGGAATTGAAATAGAATGAAAGAATAGAAAATGATGAATGTGCAATAAGGTACTTACCGATTCACCGACATAGAAATCGTTCATATGACGCAAGGCAAAGCAGAATAGAAGGCACATTATGACGACGAGCCAAACCTCGGAATTGTCCCGCGATGCTGCCTCGTTTGTCCTGAAACAAAGTTCACAAATCAAATCCAATCTTCTAACGTAGCGACACTGTTTTATCGGCTTATACCTTGGCGGGTGCACATTTTGGGCGTGGACCAAGTTAATTTGAAAGATTAGGAGGATAATAACGCAGGTAACGCAGATCGGCTGATTCATTTCGTGTGGCGTCCGCGCTCAGCTCGATTCTTTACCCTTCACCCCGTTTTGACACTTCCGCAAACATTTCATTTTTGTATGTGTCTCGTTTGTTTTCCGATGGGAAACGTCATTGCAAATTGATAAGGTTCAAAAGAAATGGTACCTAAACACATTACATTTTTGTTCAGGATTATCTTCCAGATACACTCTTAACATTCCGAAGAGATTGAGCACAATCTGGAGGAACACATCTGATTGGTCGCTGTCATCCATCACGCCTTCAATTCTTCTGACTACGGTAGCTCCTGGTGCTCCGCCTCTCTTCTGTTTTTCCGTTATCATCAAATCAACTTCTCGTCGCTCGCTTGTTAGTCGACATCCTTATTCATTTCCTTGGTTCACAATTCTGGTTCGCAGGTTGGTTTGGACTCAACGTTTGTGCTCGTCCAAATCCGGATTGCTCTTGTTGTTGTGATCGCGTCTGTCCACTTTTGTAACTATAACAATTGAAGTATACGTATTGCAAAACGGAATCCCGAATTGTCGGACATGAAGGTACAAGAAAATGTACTGCATTCCCACACTTTCTGTCATGGGCTCTATCCACCATAAACAGGTTCAGCGTCAGCCGAATGATGACAGAATGAGCCACCCGTTTGAATATTGTCTAGTGCTTCTGATTTGAGCACACACACATAACTTCTTCCACTCAAAGCCACTTTAGCTTTGCCGGTGTATTTTTGAGAATCATTTTTTAAACATTTCAGAAAACTCTTTGTACAATATCCACGTTTGTTCGAGAGTTGTTTCAATCAGACATTCACATAACTACTCTGAGATTTTCCTGATAGCTTATGACACTTGTACCTTGTTCCCAGAATCGTGACTGATTGTTGAGAAAAAAAAAACGAAATAGAGTGGATTTTAGATGAATGTGTTTTGAATCTTGCAAATACAATCCGTCCCAATCTTGTTTGTCAGTCACAAGATTCGATTCTCAAACGAGCTACGGTAGCTATATATTGCATAATCTCGAGGATTTTCCTACTGTAATTGCGAAACAGATACATTTTTCATTTTGATCGAGAGTGTCCTTTTGAGCGACTTATTTTGACACACTCAAACCGCCCAATAGAAAAACGACGCGTGTTTGAGAAATCTTAGTAGGTACATTCTCACGATATCTCGCTTTCCCATGCAACTTTTGTCGATTCTTCTACTCTTGCTACTCACCCGGACTATTGTTATTTCCACCATCTCACTGCAGACAGAGTAACTCAGCCAGTTCCAGCTATGCTGCTACCTGCGTTCAGCATCACAAATGGTTCGTTGTTGTATTCTCACTGTCTCATGTTCGGTACATATTGTATGGCATGTCGCATGTCAATGCCTCACCTTCGGTTTTATCCGGCCAACTCTCCAGAAATACTCGCGACAAGTGCCCTACTGAAGAGCATGAGCGACAAACTTCCGCAACAGTCTCAACAGTCTCAACAACAACAACCACAACAGCAACAAATCACTCCAAACGCATGGGGTTTTCATCCCGGATTCCGTGGAGCAGAGAATGCACCACTTCCGTTTAATTATGAAGAGCAAAACCGAAGTGGGGATGCTCTTCCGACCGATTTCGACAGCGATGCATCTCGCGCGGCAGCACCGTTCATGCCGCACTTGCTGCCGAGATTCGGTACTGTCTCACAAATAAATGCTCCTCTTGAAGCGGTTTTTCACAGGTATCCCATTTCCCGACTTCACTGATTACCAACGTTTCAATGGATTTCAACGGAACGCATTCTTTGCTGCTCCTTTCGGATCGCACCTTTCGAATCCTCCGTTCCCGCCTGCATTTCCACTGAACACGGCAGTTTCTAACCCCATGACAGGCATGGAATCATTCAATCTTGCCCAATGTCACCATCCTCTCATGCCAAACTCTCTTCCGCCCTTGGAATGCGCTACTAAAGTGAAACCCAATGAGACTCCTGAAGATCTGTCTGAAAAACCACCTGTGCTGTCCGCGGAGTATCCAGTCAAACAAGAAAATGTGCTAAAGTTTTCGGATCCGACTGTAACACCTAATTATTCATCAAAGGAAGAGCCAATGGATGAAGCCACGGCTAGAGCGATTTTGGACAAGAAAAAGGACGGTCATGCATTTCCAATGCCTCCACAACTCTCGATTAACAAAACATTCGATGCTTCTAGGTAATCTATTAAACTAGAAAGTTTTCTAACTGAAATTAACGTTATTCGTGCAGAATCCGTGACGAACTTCTTCCGTTCAACCCGCCGTTTTACTCCCAGCCAATGGATATGAGTTCGAATGCCATTTTCAAACAAGAGATGACAACTGTACACGTTCAGTTCTATTTTAGGGGCAGTTACATGCAAACGCGCTCTGCTCTTAATCATTTTTTTACTAGGGAAAGACCGAACTTTTCATTTTTCTTCAAACTCGAGTTGCTCAACAGAGCGCGTTTGCAGTGAAATGCCTTTATAACAATCATTTTTATCTCATTTCATTTTCAGCCTCCTGTTCTGGATGTTCATGCCGATTTCAAAACCTTCAACAATCCAATTAACGGCAAGCGCACTGACTTCCAGCCGCCGTCCACTTTGCACGATTGTCAAGTGTGCCTTTCCACTCATGCGAACGGTCTTCACTTTGGAGCTCGCACTTGCGCTGCTTGTGCAGCCTTCTTTCGGTGATTCATAGTACTTTATTGGGAAAATTTTTACAAATTTCATTTTCAGTCGAACCATTAGCGATGATAAACGGTATGTCTGCAAGCGTAACCAACGGTGCACAAATGCAAGTCGCGACGGCACCGGATACCGGAAGATTTGCCGTAGCTGTCGGATGAAGAGATGTCTGGAAATTGGAATGTTGCCTGACAGTGAGCATTCGATCATGTTTTTTTCTTGAAAAACTTACATATCAGATGTTCAACATAAGAGAAACCGGCGGGAATCGGGTGGTTCTTCACCAAGGAAAACCACATTCGACAACTTCTTCACTGGCTTTTATCCAGGATTTCCTTCCGCTGCTGCAGCTGCTGCTGCCGCATCCACAATTTCAGGTCTCCCGTTGCCGCCAACCGATCCGCATCATCCGACCAACTGACTTCTGAATCTTGTTATCATCCACAGTCAAATTTGTATTCCCCCATTTTATTTCCAAGAAAAAATAATTGTAAGAATGCGTGTTTTTCGCCTCAGAGAGTGGGGACAAACCTGTGGAATACTCCGGGCAGGTTGCAGGTCAATGAGGTGAGGGGGCATTTTAGAGATCCAAATAAATGGGGAAGCATCCTTGAAAAGGATCTTTGCGTGAATAAATAGGTGTGTGATGGTTGAAAATATGACGGGGGATAAAGTGCAAATACAGTGTGAGTATAAAAATAAATAAGACAAATTATCGGGAGGCAAGTTACTCGAGCTTCGACTTCTTAGCCTCGGATTCGTAAGAGGTCGAGGTGCCCTCGCCATCGCGCTTCTTCTCGCGGTCCTCGTTCTTCTTCTTGCGCTCCTCGCGCTTCTTCTGCTTTCTCTCGGCATGCAAACGCTCCTCCTCCAGACGCTCCTTACGCTGACGCTCCTTGCGAGCAGCGCGTTGCTCTGGAGTCTCCAGCGCCTTCTCGGCACGACGCTTCTCGCGCTCAGCCGCTTCGGCAGCCGTGCTCTCCTCGTGTTTGCGATCAGACGACGGCTTCTTGGAAGTACTTTGGCTGGACGATTCTCCCTCCGAACGAGACGACGACTTGTGTTGGTGTTTCTGCAACTTTTTCTCAGTGCCAGAGGATGAGCTTTCCTCCTTGGAGACGGACGAGGATTCTTTCTTTGGCTCCTTCTTCGAGGAGGACGACAGAGAGGCAGATCCTCCGGAAGACGACGGTTTACCAGAAGACGACTGTTTTTTTGACTCGTCCTTAGATTCCTTCTTACTGGACGACGATGATCCCGCACCAGAAGACGAAGCCTTCTTGGAGTCCTCCTTGGGTTCCTTCTTACTGGAGGACGAAGATCCGCCATTGGACGACGAGGCCTTCTTCGACTCGTCCTTGGATTCCTTCTTACTGGACGAAGATGATCCCGCACCAGAAGACGAAGCCTTCTTGGAGTCCTCCTTGGATTCCTTCTTACTAGAAGACGAAGATCCGCCATTGGACGACGAGGCCTTTTTCGACTCGTCCTTAGATTCCTTCTTACTGGACGACGATGATCCGGCACCAGAAGACGAAGCCTTCTTGGACTCCTCCTTGGATTCTTTCTTAGAGGACGATGAAGCCTTCTTTGATCCCTCCTTGGCCTCCTTGGACTCCTTCTTGGACGACGACGAAGCCTTCTTCGACTCTTTCTTCAAGTCCTTCTTTGACTCCTTCTTCGACTCCTTCTTAGCTTTCTTGACCTTCTTTTTCTTGCTGGAGCTTGGTCCCCCTGCGTAATCCGAGTCATCCGAATCCTCCGAGCTTTCCTCCGACTCGCTATCATCCTCTTCGGCGTCGTCATCGTCGTCGGCGCTCGAATTCGAGTTGGCGGGGGCGGCGGCGTCTGAGGAAGACGTGTCGGTGCGTCCGCGATCGTGATCCGAAGCGAGTCTTCCACGATTGAGAGTCAGACGGTGGTGATCGATACCATCATCGCCAAACTTGCTGTTTCTGCAATTAGACTATATAATGACCGTCACTTTTCGTGTTTCTAGCCCGACGGCAGAGTGAGACCTCGACTCAATTTTAATTTTCTGGCGAGATCTTTCAATTTCATTCAACCCAAACTCACTTGAAATTGGAGATCTGAATCAGGATCTTTCCGTCGGTTCCACCGGTCAAAAGCACTTCGGGAGTGACAGTCATGCAGGTGACGTCTCCAGTGTGTCCCTCGTAACTGAGCAATGGCTTTTCCCAGCGGTTTCCTGTCTGGTTCATTGCGGTCAATGAGAGCTGAAAACAAAGAATAAAGTTTGCAATGAAGATAAGGTACTAACAAATTTCTTTTTCTCAACTCCGTGCACAGCGACCAGCGGTATCTCATCGTTGACTCCTTTGATCAGGCCGATGCACCATTCCGGCTTCTTATAGAAGGCTCTGAAAACGCATTTGTTTCGTTTTTTGTATTCACTTCACAAAAGGCGTCCTCTTAGCTGAAGCCACAGATAGGAAGCTGCTTCTGTTGACGAGACTCCGCCCAATCGTCTGATTGGCTACCCTAGAGACTCACCTGGAAGTTCTTGTAAACGGCTGGTCGGCTTGCTCGTTGACGGTTCCGTAGAGCACTTCGAGCTGTCCTTTGCTGTCAACGAAAACGGTAGCTTCGGAGTGATCGCTGATGCTGTACACAATGCGCTTGTTTATTACTCCGACCTTGGTGATCGGTCCCTTCACGTATCGAGTCCAACGAAGCGCGTTATCCTCGTCGCGCAGGTCACAGTCGTAGACGCGCAGTCCGCCGTTTCTGTCGCCGGTGAGCAAATCGCCGCCGTTCTTGTAGAACTCCATGCTGACCACCTCGGAAGTCAGATGCTTCTAAAACAATTGGTGTTGAACTATTTGGGCTGAATGAGTGTTGCTACCTTGTACGTGGTCATTGGCTCGGTGGCATTTCTGATGTCGAAGAGCGAGATGCACTGCGCGTATCTCTCGCGACGGTGCGAGCCACGAACGTCCGAGATGCCGGCGCCAAACTCGATGCTCGACACGGCGACGACGTTCTTCGACGACACGGCAGAGCAGACGACTGTGTGGTTCTCCACGTCCGGATTCAGACGATACTTATTCTTTTTGTCGGAGCGCGTGTCGAAGACGTGCAAACCGAACGAGCTGTCCACCGCATACAAGGTATCTGAACAACACGTATGATTGCCGCCGCCGGAAAAATCGATAACACGAACGTTTCTTGTTCGGATTGAAGTGCAATCCGGCGATATGAGTAGGCACTTCGAAACGGCGCACGATGGCTCCGGTGTCGAGTTTAAAAATCGGAATGTATTGATTGGACAGGTAGGCGCAGCCGATGTTCTGATCGTCCGTCGCCACAAGGCGAACCGCCGAGGTTGAGCTCAAGTCAACAACCAACGGCATTGTCTAGTTACCGCTTCTGAAAACGAAAACATTGCACGAGAAAGTCGATAAAATCAACGGCAAAACAGAAGAACGGATTACACGGGCCGACAAGATGAAAACCGGAGCAAGTGAGGGCGACGGCAGACGAGGAAAGACTGCAAAAGATGACGGAGCGCGTTGCTGCGCGTCCTCCCGCGTTCGGATGATTCTAGGCCAGCAAAACCCGGCCACGCGGCTGCGGTACCCTCTCCCCCTCTCGCGTCTTCTCGTCCTCTCCGTTTTCGGCGTCTAGCACGTACGTGTTGAGGTCATTTTGTGAACTTTGACGGCAAAAATAGGTATAAAAATGAATTTTCAGATTTTTAAATGAGGGGGATAGTACACTTTCTTCGACGCCGCTTGTCCAGAAACCCACTTTCAACGCAAATGTGCATTGCGGGTGAGTTTTTCGTTGCAAATTAGCCGAGTACGAGTGATTTTCTGACATTTTTGAGTGAAAACACATCTGCTACTGGTTTCGCTGAGCTTTTCTAATTGGACAACGAGAGAAGTGTGCGTGTAGTGGCCCAGGGACATGAGAAATATTGGAAAATTTACACATTGCACTGCAACAGTGAATGTGAGTGCTCCAGAGAAATATATTCGTGGTTACTGGAGAAAACAGAAATCGGATGGGAAATTGAGCAGAGAAAAAAGAGGAAAAGTGCGATTTCTGACTCGGGTATTTTGCACAAACACCCGAACGGGCGGCTCAGATTTTCAGAGGACAACATCACAAACATTTCAAACAGTCACCTCCCTGGGTGCCGTCGTTAGAAGAAAGGACGTTGACATGCTTTTGAAGTACGAAAATCAGCCCGGCCCAAAACTGTTGAGAAAAAAAACCGATTTTTCAGATTTTTCGCATTTTTTTGGAACTAGAAAGATCAAAAGCAAAGGAACTCTCATAACATCAGCGCGTATCGATTATTTCTCAACTGGAAATTATCACGCGTCGAGGCGTTTCATGAAGCTGTTGTGTGAATTTGGCGGGGCAAAATGCGCGCGTTGTCATGGTGAATGTGCTTCATGCGAATTGGGGAGCCGCGTGTGATGCCGCGAGTCAGGTGCTCTGTGATCAGAAGCGAGACTAATCCGCGCGCGTGTCCTTGTTTCTGGCTGGCACGTCGAAAGGAGTTCTGGCAAGGGACTGGCTGACACAGAGGAAGCAGAAGTGGCGAAAGGGACTGAAACAAGAGGTCTCAGGCCTGTCTCTGGTCGGCCACCGGTAGATGATCGATCAATGGCACAGCTTGGCTCGATTTTCAGTAGAGCTCGAAAATTACGTTTTCCGACTTGCATTAGCTAATTCTCATTAAAAAAGGTGAGTGATCGGATGTAGCGAACACCTAGTCGCACAAGGCGTCATCCATCACAGATCAGGGTTTGTGATCTCAGCGATGCATACATGAAAAAAGCGACCGATCAAAACAGGTAGAAGGGAAACAGATAGTCTTAATTGACTGGAAAGGGAGAGCGAATGGTGAATGATGGAAAGGACAGAACAGAATAAAAACTTATCATGTGTATTGCAGGTACAATCAGCGGTTCTGGTGACTATTTCGCGCAGTATCTCTCGCACAACAAAGAATGGGATTGGGTCCGGACGGCGAGATTTGCATTCCTTTCGAGCTGCTTTATGGTGAATGGGACTACAGAAAAAGAAAAAACCAAGCTGTGACACGTTTAGGCACCATCATTATTCGTGTGGTTCAGAGTACTTGAGCGACTGCAAGGTGGCAGCAAAACGGTGTTGTTAGCTAAGAAATTATGTGTCGATCAGGTGATAACAGTTTTCATAGGTAACTACGCTCTTGTTTCAGTTATGTTTCAGTCCATGTTTCAACGCTGCAATTTTGTTCAATTTACGCTTTTTACAACATCAATCCGCTGATAAATCACTGGAATTGTTGAAAGAGGACTGGTTCAACATTTACTCGACTAGTTTGCGGGTGCGTCACTGAAATTGGCATCGTTTTCATGTTTTCTAGGACGAAAATGGGTGTGACTGCCGGCCGTGTTCTGCGAGCGGAGCTGCCCAAATTGAGGGGTTGACGGATGAGAGAGAAATTGTACCAAACGCGCTCAGATTTTGTGTGTTGATAAACAGAAATAAGGGATGACAGAGAACAAGAGAACGAAAAGAAGTTGGATTCTGCCTTCTATTCAAAACAAAGTGTTTTAGGTTTGGCCAGTCGTTCAATTGGTTAATTTCTGTTTTGTTCCGCTCAATTATCGGGTGATTTTGAATCAGGTAAGAGTTGAAAGTGTAATTTAAAGAAAAATTGGACAACCGGAAAAATGAGGAAATTTTAACGGAGACTTCATTTTTCTGGGGCCGGGCTGAAATTTTGCAAGTATGGTGTCCAATAACAAATCCATTTCAGGTTGTCGCATTCTTCTGGAACTCCTATCTTTCCTACAGCACCCAGAAGCCAATAGATCACATTGAACAGTTTTATTGATACAAATCGTCATTCCATAAATACAATTTATCATGTTTTAGGTTGTGAATTGAAAAAATAAAGAAAATTCGAATTATATGAGTGCTAGGTTACATATTCGGTTCCAATTAAGTATCGATGCCGCAGGATTCGATGGAAGCAAGAAGAAGAAGGAGACAAGAAGAAGAAGGGAAAGAAGGAGCAGGGGACTGATGAGCTGGGGTACATGAACTGGCAATGAAATATAAAGGGACAGGAACAAGAAATAAGACAAACTACAAGTGTCCTACGCTAAAATTCACAGATAAAAAAACACATTAATCATTCAGTTCTGGTTCGACTGAAAACCGGATCAGTTCCAGAAGAAACGGTAAAAAAACGGGAAAGGATAGGATGTGCAGACATGCTTTGTAGGGGAAAATGATTTGAATGGTGAAAAGAGCATTACGATAAGCAGAAAAGAAATTTACACCTTGAATTAGCGTTTTGAAAGGTTGAAGAAATTATTTGAATTTTTTTGGATTTTTTAAAGAATTTTTTTGAGAATGAAACAAGAAAGCGTGCAACAAAGTTACGAAACGTGTAGTACTCCGACCACTCATGAAGTTATTTTTGTAATGTTTTTTTTTGAATTTTTTCGGAAAATATTGAGCCTACTTTAAGTTGCGGCCGATTGCAAGTCTACTGTATACTTTTGAATCGCATATTCTGAGTTTTTGCGATGACGTCGTTTATTGGGCTCATTGAGTTGGGACAAAACAGGCGTTTTCCGCAAAAACCCCGATTCAAAATCGTCTATTTTCTTTTTAATTTCAGTTTTTCCCAACTAAAAGAGCTACAATTCTCAGCAGAGCATGTAATCGACTATTTGTGACAAAAACAAAAATAATATGTGAAGAGAAGAACGGTGGTCAAAGGGGAAAGTCAGTGGTTAGGCTTAAGCGCAGAGTTGGCTGGTAGAAGAGGCTCCGTCTCTGACGAAATCATCATCATCGTCATCGAAAGCTGAAAACATATAACTATTCTGTATACACTTGTGTGTGTACCTTTGCGGGAAGATCCTTCTTTGTCGTCGTTGGAATCGGATGAGTCACTCTCCGGTCCATCCAACACCTGAAAGAATACGATTACATTAAACATAATAACATTGTCAGTATGATCGACCTCCTCGGAAGACTCGTCTTTGAAAGTGACTCTCTTCTTCTTCACGACCTCGTGACCGTCCGAATTGGTTCGCTTGCGTCGTCTCGGAGCAATTGCCTGCACTCCCATCATCTGAAGGCTGAGCAAATCGATGTCCTCGTCGTCATTGTCGGCTTCATCGAGCGGGTCGATGTCATCGAATTCGACTTCATCGAACTCTGATTCGGCTGGTGACGTAGACGGCGACGGGGACGGCGAGAGATAGCCGTTGTAATTACGGTATTGGCCGTTGTTGTTGTTCACTTCTGGGTCGAAGCTATCATAGAAATGTTCGAGGCGCTGGTATCCGCGGAACTGGTCCAAGAACATTGCCTCAAGCCGAAGACGCATCCGCCGTCTGATCCCATAGTGAGGATCGATCAACTCCTGCGCGAACTCCTCCAAGTCGTGCTCTGAAAACGTATGATTACTGATAGTGGCCGAGTCTGGTCACTAACGATCGAGGGGAGGACGTCCCGGGGCCCTTGGTGGTCTCACTGGTTCCTCGTCGTCGTCGTCGTCGTCGTTGTCGCTCTGATAAGGAGATATGGGTTCATATCTGTCCATCACTTGAACGGCGTTAGCCCTCGGCGCCTGCATTCTCACGCCCGGCATCAAGTGCTCCTCGACAGCATTATCGATGAACACGCGCAACGGAGTGCGTGGGCGGTATCTCGGCATTCCATATGCGTCGAAGACTCCTGCTCGGATGTTCACGATGTCCTCATCTTCCAAGTCTCCGTTCTCAGCAAGAGCGGCTTGCAGAGCGGCGTCGACTCGTTGTTCAACCATGTTTCGCAGACACAACTACCTGAAACGAGTGTACATGTCACCTGACAGAAGGAAAACGGGTTTGATGAATAAAAAATGAGGAACACGGAGGAATACGTCGGGAGACAGATCACTCATATCGATCGATTTGTGAACAGAATATCTGGTCAAATTGAGGAAAGGCTAACCGCTAACCGCCAACCCAAACGTTTCAGAGAATGATGCGACAAAATGGCAGAATGAGAATGAGAAGTCATTTTGGTTTACACTAAGGCGTATCGAAGGATGGGGAGGGGAGTTTGGCAAGCTGAGACAGCGAAAGATTGGTGACCGTAGAAAGAAGTGTTTGCGAGGAAAGAAAGGGAGAACACACGGCAAATCGAAAGACGGACGGACGGTCGGCCGCCACCGCCACCGGCCCGTCGTCCTGCCCCCTAAGCGCAGTTTCTCGCGTCGTCTACGCCGGTCTGCGTCTCCGCTTGCGATTCGCAGATTGCCTGCATCATATTGTGTCCAATAACAACCCCGCCTCGACGTCTTCTTCGCAGAAAGTTGCTGGGAAGACATACTGATTCAGTGTCTATAGAGACGCCGCCTTTCTCTCTTTCTCTTAGAAGGTCGCAAAAACTGAAATGAAGAAAATCGATGGAAAGAGAGGGGGAAACGAGATGAAGACCAGAGAGCGCGCCCGTTTATCAGTGCACGAGTAGGGATGTGGTAATGAAAGAGACGGAGAGCAACTCTAGCTGCTCGCAGCCATTAAATGCATGTTGGGGGTTGTATGGATCATAGTTGTTACGGGCCGGACCGCGTCATGATGTAAATTCTAACGGCCCAGCGGGGCCCGCACAAAAAATTTATTTTTTGGCCCGAAAATTCACAACTATAGAACGTAGGACAGGTCGGTTGGAAGCATTACGTATTGAGTGCATGATAATACAAAGCAGTTCTTTGAATAAGTTTGTGTGTCGATCAAAAGATTTCCCGAAACACAGCAAACATTTTCCAAAATCTTTCCAAAAATACTGTTCTAGTCAGTCAAAATGCCTAAATGGCTGTGTTTCGGGTAACTTTTCACCGGCAGACTTATTCAAAGAACAGTGTTGTATTATTATGAACTTCAAGTTCCAACCTTTCATTTTTCCTCATCATTTTTAATCGATAAAACCAAAATCGGTCGAACGACAGATCATTTTGACCGGTTCATCAAGCGAGGTCACATCTTCGACACACTTTTAAAAGTCTGCGCGAAACACTTTTCTAGAGACAAAGGAGACGTATCAAAATCAGATATTGGTCACATGACTGACACAAATGGAAGGGACTTGCAACGAGTCAGACTAGGCCGTCATTGAAAATGTTTCGGTTCGGTGTTGCACGTCAGATTGAATTGGACTTCTGCTGTTCGAGAAACCGAAAATGTTGTGTGATAAGCTTTCGCTAACTAAATAAATTTTCCAATAAAAACAGCTGCAAGGGATGAGATTCTGCAGCAAACTTGCAAACTCTCATTTTGTCGAGCTCAGCAGATAGAAATATATGAATAAAGCTTCTGTTTGAGATGAGAAATGAAAAAAAATGACGAAGCTGGTGGAAATAGAGCAGAAGATGCTCTTTGAACACAATTTTGGTTAAGTGTTGTCTCGGAATGGTGATGATGGTGATGATGATGTCAGGCCTTGGGGGTCTTATCGACACAGAGTTGAGAAATTTTACATTCAGCAAGATTGGCTGAACGTGCATTTTCTTAGAAAATCTTTATGATGAAGCCTCGAGCTCACTCATTGATCAACGAAACGTTGGGTGAGAGAAACCAACAATTTTCTAATGAAAATAACACTTTTATATAACTATGGGCTTGGAGTAATTGCTGCTATCCGAACCACACGCAAGCCAGATGTGCAGGAGTGCTAAACTACGGTATCTAGAACTTGAAAATGTTTTTCTTCTCCTGCCTAACTAGACCAATATAATGCGAGAAATACCTAAAAACAAACGAGACAGGACATGTCAAGAAGTGCGCGTTTTCTGACAATTCAATTGCACCTTTTTGTCGAAAACACTACCAAGGCTCTCAATTATTTATTAAGGGCAGCACGAGAAAAAGAGAACAAAGAAACATGAGAAGGGGGAGGAGAGACTTTTTTGGAATGATCAAAAGAACTTTGACTTCTAGAGAGACGTTCATTTCTGGCAAGAGAAATGAACGGAGAGCGAGTGGGAGAGAGAGAGAGAGAGAGAGAGAGAGAGTCAGCCGGTTTACTTTACATATAGGATAAAAAAGAAAAGAACTACTTGTCTTCGGGAGTGGAAGTGTGACACGTGAGGCTGCAGACAAGACGCTAAGAGTTAGGACTAGAAACGAGAACAATGAAGTGATAGAAATGGGGATGGCAAAACCAAAGAATGACATCTATAAGAGAACCTAGAGACGAACAAGAGGGTACGCGTACTAGACGGAGGGGGAGTCGCGAGAGCGAAGAGCGCTCCGGCCATCCGTCGGTGCTACGCGGGGGCAAAAGAGTGTAGGGAGGACGGAAGCGACATGTGAGAAAGAGGGCACAAACGGAGAGAAGAACATCGAGGACACATAACGGGACTGCGAGCGTTTGCGTTTGACGTTTGACAACTGAATCTTTGGACATACACACTTGTCAAAGAACTTTGCGTGGGGGAGACTTACAAAAATATCTCAAAAAGTAAATATTATTATGCTGTATCAGGCAGGTTGGGAGGTTATCATAAATGAATGAAGTGATGATGTTGTAGAGGTGTGAAGTTTTGATGACAATCTGACGAGTTTTTCGATTTTACTGATCTGAAATTTTAAAAAATTTAGATTCTCAGCAGACTTGTCCGAAATTTTTGAATCCGGCCCGGCCAACTTCCGCAAGTCTGTTTCTCAGGGATTCCCCGTTACAACTGCGGACAGACATCAGGCAATGAGGTGTATCAAATATCTTTCACCTTTTCTTCTCTCCAATGAACCATGTCAATGACTACTAGTTCCCCTGCCTACCTTCAATCGCAAATCTGTTTGTTCGCCGTGATGAATGCCAACACATCCGGCGCCACATTCTCGCGAAGCAGACGGTTCTCCTCACGGAGAGCATTTAGCTGAAAGGAAAAAAAGTTTCAGGGAATCGGTAAGGTCTTATTACTCTCGATTCCAAATCAGTGATCGTCGTCCTCAATGTCTCGACTTCCTCGCGGACCGCGAATGTAAGATGCGTCTTCACCAGGTCCATGGCCTGCACAATTTTGTTGTCGATGGCGACCACTGTGTTGCTAGTAGCAGTCGCAAGCTTAGCCGAAGACTCATCGAGTTTTGCCACGTCCCCAGACATAGCAGCCACTGCGGATCGCGATGACGGATTTGTCATACTCGAATCGTCGCTATTGTTCACAACAACCTGGAAAGATGATAGTTGATAGTTGCAAAAAGATAAGAAGAAGCTTTCATTACATCAAAAAGCACCATTGTCACAACTGGTGGCTTCGCTCTCACAACGCGCTCTAGTGGTGTAATTTTGATTTCGTCAAAAGGTGTGATTCAGATCGACTTGGGTCCAACATAATGAACGGATTTTTAAGGGAAGCAAAATGATAATAAATTCACTGAAGATCACTAAGTATTAAAATTAATCAATGAACTATTTCACTCAGATTATTTTCCACTCTTGTCTGCAGACTATGAACAGTTAAAGCAAAAATCAATTTTCTAGACGGATAGCTTAAAAACATTCAATTTCCGTCGTTCTACGCTGTGGTTTCCGATCAGAAATTGGAGAACCACAATAATACTTTAAGGTATAAATATAGCTTTACTTTTACGGTAACTATGTGAGAGATTTACTATATTTCAAAAAGAATGATCATTTTTGTGAGGTTTACAAGGACTCGAACGTTTTGCAACCCAATATTCCGATACCTGCGTTAACTTTATTTAATTCATCACTAAGTAGGTCACGTTGGTAACGAAATGTCGCTTACAACTTTTCAAAATCTTCACATAAAAGATTTTTCTCGAACATGAACATCTCAAAAAAGTGTTATTTCTAACTGGAAAGACTTGAACAACTCAATAGACAGCCGAAGTCAATTGCATTAGAGCCATCGCAACCCACATGTTGGCTATACACTATGTTGTTTGATGATCATTAGTGTTTTAGTTGAAGAGCGCCGCCGCTAAGCTGTTGGAGGGCAATTGAGAGCTCTTGGTGTCGACTGACGTCTGGGCCCAGGACCCACCGAGTCTCAAGAATAAAAACAAACTCACATCACTGATGACTGTCTCTGCAGCACTGATTCTGCCGCTTTCAGCCATCACGGCAGTCGTTTCGGGATCCATAATCACAATTTCAATGTTGTTTGTCAGCGACGGCTGGGCGGGTTGGTCAAAACTGAAAAACGGATAGATGGACTGGGGCGAGTGATTTTCTCGCACACTCTCGAGCACAGGAAGAATGCGAAAATTGATTATTTCGTGGTACACTGCCCCCGTGTCTCCACTCGCTCTTCTCACAACGTGAGAATTGAGGAAGGCAACGAAAACGGCTGCTCGCGAGGACGGGCATCGAGGGGGCCTCACCAATATTGACTCTATACTACTATGCTTCTCTCGACTATCCTACCAAATGCCATTATAGAATTATGTATTAGATGGTCTTACACCGGCAAGCGCCTAAGAAGAAATGAAAAGGTTGAAAAGTGAGAGCCTTGCCTTGAACGCGTATAAAAACAAAAAGGTTGGATGGGAAAGGGGTCGTTGATGTTGTGAAACGAAACTTGGCGGTGGGATCCGGAAGAGAAAGTGCGAAAAGAACACCATGGAAACCTTCCAGGAATAGAAAAAAAAAGTTTCGAGCAAAAAAAGCAAAGAAAGAAGAAGAAGGAGAAGAAAGAAGACATTTTTCTGTCCTCTCAGCTGCTTTTTTCGCATGGCGGCTTTTCTGGTCGACGACGAGCTCCGGCAGGCGGAGGCGCGAGAGCCCAGACCACCATGGCAGTCGCGCCACACGCCAAAATAAAATTCCATCGTTTCTTGTGCTCTCACATGCAACTAGGTTGTGTGGATTGGCTCGAAATCGTGATGGGAATGGGAAAAAGGAGGAGATAGGGACTGAGTGAGAGAAAAATCCACTCGTTTTCGTGCTTTCAGTTTTCTTCCTTCATTTTTGGTTTGGGCCGGCATCACACTTTGAAGAAGAGACCCACACCATTCAAATTGACGATAATAGAAAAGCAAATGGATATTTCTGTTTTCCGTTTCCAATGTTTTCAGCAAAATGTGTCTTGTTCATTTTTCACAATAGAAAGTGATACTGAAAGTACCGAGCATAGTTGGACCACCATACTATATTTGGCGAGGTCGCCAGAGTGTTGTGAAGAAAGGATGAAAAACGAAACCGATGCCCGACTCGGAAACGTGGAAAGTATTATGCGCGACTTTTCAAATTCGGGTCACCACTCTTAAACCCAAACATACTACTCGCGTACACATTCGAGGCGATGTTTGATGTTCAGAGGAAGTATGTAGCCTATAATAGTCCGAAAAAAGTCTTTCCGGAAACAAAAGTTCTTCCCGTTTCCCAGAGCCTTTCATCTCCTCGTCGAGCAATTCCAATTCTCCAGAGAGACGTCTCTTTCCATATCTTCGCGCGCACACGTGATTTCTCATCTGTCCGCTAAAAACATGCGCTCACCGTGGCTGACTCTTTTCGAGAACTCGAATGCTGTTTGCTTCATCTGATCCGGCTGGAGCAGAAGATTCGGAAGACGGACGGGGAAACTTCTTTCGGACTGTGATCACGTTATTCTTGCACGACACTAGCATTTTGTACTCATCCTCTGGTGGGTAGTTTCCAAACTCTAAAACAAAGATATTAGGCGAAAAAACGAAAAACTGCACTCACCTCCCAAGGCTGACCCGAATCGAGTGTCTATCACTTTCCACCGCCCACGCGTGAACTCTCCAGGAACTGGGACCACCTGGAACTTCTTTTTTGGTTTGTCGGCGGCCGGTTGCGCTTGTTGCGGATCCATAACGCCAGAATCACCAGCTGTGGGGCACTGCATTACTGTGTTCTGCTGGAATGCCTGTAAGAATGAGAAAGAGTGAGTGAAAGTTGGAAGTGTGTGTCTTGTCGAAACGCTGACAAATCCGCGCGTGTTGACGCAATGATTTGGAGGTATGAAAACAAAACAACAAACTCTCAAAAGTAGTCAAGAAAGGATATGCATAAACCACAAACTTTTCATTCTGCTCCTCTCACATTTTGCTTTCGTACACAAAAGTGCAACGTGCTCATTAGCGGAAGTTTCCAATTTCTCTATGCTATGCTGACTTTCGTGGTGAGAGGATATGGATTAAACAACTATAAGGTTTCCCGATGGAAAACAGGAAGATAAAACTGAATAGGTCAGTTGACGAAAAGAACATTCTCCCTTCTATAGATTGCTGACTCATAAGGCAGTTTTACCCTGATTCGATTCCGCAGACAAGAGAGAAAAAGAGAGAGAAAGAGAAAGAGTGAAGAGAAAGAGAGAAAAGAAAGAAATAAACGCTGGTGAACTAATCTGGAGTTGATCCTTTCAGGTATGGGATGAAACATCACGTTTTTTATTTGTAACAATGAAATGAATGGCCTACTGTTTCAGGGACAACAAAAAAGAGAGAAGACGTCAAAAATGGCCTCCTCCGCCGCCCTTTTTTCAACTAATCACTCGATTCTCTGCCTCACGCGACCTTTGCTTCAATGATTGATGAACCGCTCGGACGAGTACGAATGGCACGTTCTTTCACTCAAAAAAGAGCTCGCACGGAACAGCTGTACTTGTTCAAGTGTGACAAGCGTGTCAATAGACAGAATGCAACACTGGAGACGGCGCGAAAGTGGTGGCTAAAGTTTAGTTCCAAAAGAATTGTTCGGAAGAAAGAGAGAGATGGATGGAAAAGGAAACAAATGGACTGGAGGGAAGACCGGAAAAAACAGATGGTGGAGTGGAAGGGATGAATGAATCCAACATTCAATAAATATGCAACGAAAATGGTGCGAAGAAGAAGAATAGGCGGAGAAAGGAGCGCAATGAAAGTGAACGGAAAGAAAGGGAGTGAGAGTGAAAGTGAGAAAGAGAGAGAGAGAGAGAGAGAGAGAGAGAGAGAGAGAGAGAGAGAGAAGGACTGTACTTTCTTAACGTTTTTCTGCTCGCTCTGTGTGCACCACCATTATCACTCTTTCATCACACCGTACGCAAGTGTGTGCAGCCCAAATCACAGGAAGCTTCTACTCCTACTCCCTCTCTCTTTCTCCCTTCCTCTAGCAACGGCCGCATCGGGATGCACACCAAACGGCGAGGTGTTTTTTAAGTGCAAATAAAGAGCAAAACTGATTGATTGCAACGGTCTCATTTGAATCTGTTAACCGCGATTGCGAGCGAGAGCACGACGAGAACGCCCCGAGCGCATGACTAACTAACGCCATTGGACTTTTTGTTACGTAAAAGGTTATCAATGCGACGGAATGTAGGAATGATAAAGAAATTAGATACAAGGTACGGGAACCCAGTGATGATAAGTTTGCGAAAAGACTGATGATTTTCATTCAAAAGGGTGCAAAATTCAGACTTGTCACAGACCAATGACCAGATTTTCTGCGGCCAGGCCTTCCGGGTTTTCAATTTTGACTGGTGGTTTTTACGTCTGTGAAAATTTGAAAAAGAAAGAACAGTGAAAATGTACCGAAATGTACATACATAGTCTATTCACAATTGCGGGCGAATAGGATAATTCATGCAAATCGATGTCAGGCAGACGGCGACGTGAAGTTACCAGAAAGTGAAAAACCATGAATCATGTGATTTTAAACAAAACCAGTGGGAAACGGGTGGAAAAGAGTCTCTGGATCCTGGAGATAAACAAAACACGGGAGGAGAGTCGGATTTTTTTGGAGGTCACAGGCAAAGCTGCCGATTGTTTGATCAACACCAAAGTCATGTGGATTATTGAATTTGGGGGCAAAAACTCACTGCGGCAAAGATGAACATTGCAGAGGCGGCCCTCTAAGTAGTTCCTAGTCGACCGGCGGTGGTCCTACCCTGAAATTTGTTTTCCAGAATTTGATAATTAGAAAAAGCGAAAAAGTCACGATTTTTTAAAAATTTGATTCAGAAAGCTTTTTTGAGTACAGTCAGCCCGGCCACAAGTCTGAAAAGATATTAATTTAGACGAGGATAGGTAAAAAGTTGGTGCGACGTGAAATATGAGAGAACCGATGTTGTAACATAAATAATGCTCATCGGCATATGTGCCAGCACATAAAAAGTGAACAAACTCGACGAATATCCTGTTTTCTTGAACACTGCTAAACGAACACATAATCCCAGACACGTCTCAACGTCGTCAAATCAAATGGTAATCTTTTGAAAAAGAACGCGTCTTTGTTTCCTTTCAAAAGCAGATTGTTGTGAGAGCGAAAATTGAGAACCCCTTTTCGGACAGAATGCGTTCTTTTTTGGTTTTTCACGATGCGACCCTAGGATTTTATGGGTTGGCGCAAATGGAGGCCGACGACGACGAGAATGACGGAAAAGGGGTTTTTGATTCCGTGACGGAGTTTTACATGAAAACCAACAAACGTTTTGTGCAGATGAGAATGTAATTAAGAAAAGTGTAAGAAGACGAAGACAGCGGGGACAGAAAGAAATTCTAAAATAGTTGAGTTGAGACAAAATGAGCGAAGACGAGCAAGTGGACGACGAATTCCCTTTGGAGTTTGAACGGAACAGAAGAATTGGGGGAGGGTTGGAAAAAAAAGAAGCCGGTGAAATGAAACTCGTTAATGAAAATGCTTTTGCTTACGTTCACCGCGAGAAAAGAAATTTTACTCCTTGGAAACCTTATAAGATATTCTTGAAGATAAACAGGCTCTATAGTATGGCCAAAGGTAGCAAAGCATAAGAGACTGAAAGGTTCACGGCTTGGCACATTCTAACAACTTCCTTCGCGCAAGAAAGAGAGCCGCGAGCACAAAGAGCAATAAAAACGGCCGAGAAAAAAGAAGGGAGCAGGCGTGTGATGAATAAATGACCAGACTGTCACACTTCTGCTGTTCCTTGAAACATGTGACACTCAGCGGGTTGCTGAACACCACTGACTGATGTGCAACACACAAACATAACGACAGGGCAGGTTTATGGTTTTATGATGATTTGAAGTCAGTTGCGAGCGAAACGAATCGAGTACAGAACCGATTGTACATATTCGAATTCGAATTTAAATTCTATTTTTAGAAGAGAGAGAAGTTAGAAATAAATGGAAACCAAAACTATGTTAAAGATACTACAAACGCCCTTTTTTTTTGGGAAATCTCGCAGCTTTGCATTAAAAGAGAGAAAAAGGACGCAGAGCACAACATTCGGGACGAACGCGGGCGACCAAACCAAAAAAAAAACAAACGAGAGCTGCCTAAAGGGATAGAAAGATATCTGACTTTCGAGCGGAAGATTTTATAGGAATTGGAAAATGTTATCGCGATTTTTATAGAAGTCTCAATCTTTTTTCGTTTCTTCTCATCATGAGCTCATTCAGTCAGGTAAAGAAAGACTGGCGACACCGATTTATTCCGTGTTTTTTCTTGTGGAAAATGGGAAACAGGGAGATAATCACTGACGGCGGTCCAACACAATAGAACCGAGACGTAATAGAACTACGCCTAATAGAACTGCGCAGAAAAGAACCGCGACACAATATAACAGTTTGGAGCACCTCTTAAACCTTTCTGTAGAATAATTGTTTCGTAGAAAAAGATAATTTTTGAATCTCGTTATCGATTTATTGCATTCATTTAATTCACTTCCGTCGTGATCCCTCTTCTCTACGGTAACGAAAACCCACAGAAAATAATTTTATTGTACTATCAAAAACGAAAGGAATCCAATTTTCTAGGTAGAAACTGTGGTTTTCTGCTTAATTGTTCGAGAGACGAAAAATTTTGCGAAAGTTAATTGAAAGGAACGGATAAAATGCTCATATAAATACACAAGAACAGTTCTATTATGTCGCGGTTCTATTCTGCCCAGTTCTATTATGTTGGATCGCCTCTCTGATGGTGTCCAAACTATGAATGGTCGGTGTCCAAACTATGAATTACCAATTCCATTCATCTTTGTAAATATCCTTATCATTCATCACTACGTGATTCTTGCTATGTTTGAACTCAAGTCAATCATATGATCGCTTTATTGTACAACAATCATATCGAAAACAATAATACTCGATTTCCTTATTGCAATTACTCTCTTCTTCCTCTTCTTGTTCATCTTCTCTTCAGAACCACCCGGAACGGACCTGATTTCCCGCGGCAAAGTTAGACTCGGTGACTGGAACAACAGTAAAACGAATTCTTTTGGGAGCTGGCATCTGATCTTGATTGGACGGCTTGCTGATTGCACTGGAGAGTTTGTTCTCGGGGCGACATGGACACTCTTTCTCACATTTATACTGAAAATAAACATGATTTGGGATACACAATGGACTGTTACCGTGACGTCTAATATTTTGAAGTAGGACGCCATACAGTCGCGGGTGGGAAGTGGAGAATCGCTGAAAAAGGGGAACAAATGGTTACATCAGTAGCAAGCAAGTTGCGATGCAAGTAAAATCATGTTTTGCCCATGATTGCCATTCACTCACCGTTCCGTCTCCTTTTTCCAAAACAAGGCGAGAAGTCAGAAGTGATAACGTTTTTATAGCGCCTTCCCCCCCATCGACCATGGTTTTGTTTCACACTCTCTTTCCCTCCCTCTTTCCCAATCATCGGAAACGATCTGATCCGCTTCGCCATATCCAGCGAATCATGGCAATAAAACGGTTGTGATTGGAAGAAAAAGAGAGAGAGAGAGCGAGAGAGAAAGTCATTCTCATCGTTTTTTGATTGGGAAATGTTGACATCGAACCTTGGATCAACAAATTTTCACACCACAAATCAACTCGAATCAAGGTTTCGATCGATATATTATTCTGATTTTGAGAGACGTTTTTTTTGTTTAGGAAGTTTCTTCCGTGTTCAGGATCATAC